AAAAAAAAAAAAGGACCCAATGACAAAAGAAAAGAAAAGAAAGAAAAGTAAGAGCAAGGCAAAACAACTATCCACTCTGTGGCGATAATGCTGTACATCAATCAAACAGAACATATCGATCGCTTTTCCAACCGTGTTATGTCGACTCCTACTTGATGTTCGACTCCTTTTTGGCTTCTGGGTTCAGAGGGCTGTTAGGATCGTATCCAACACTTTTCACAATACCTAATCCCTTGGTTTTCCCTTCACGGAAAAGTACTCGGTCTCCAGGCGCCAGAAACTCTGGGCGTTGCACAAAACGGAAAGCCACCAGGGCGCGATCACCCGTTCTGATAAAGGGACGGTCAATGTCAATGACAGAACATGTTTGACTCACGGCCCCAACATGCAACATTGCTTGATACCGGGGCTTAATAGTAGTAGCATGAGAGAGAATGAGAACTAGATCCAGTCAGAGTAAACCATAGACAGGTGACACAGCATGTGGTCCTACCTTCCGCAACGAACTCCCGGTAGACCTTGGGAGGCTGGTCCAACTTCTTGAGAACAACCATACCCTTTCGCACCTCTTTCCTTCGTACACGCTTCAACGCGAACGACCCAGACTGTCCCGCAAAGCAGGCATTGACAGATATCCGTTTCCGTTCAATGGACTTGATCATGGTTGTGGTGAATTGTCCAAGCGAATCAGGCCCAACAAGCACTGTATCACCCGCGTGTATTACCCCTGACTTGGCCACCCCCGACACCACTGTGCCTACATGTGGCACCGAGAACGTATCGTTGATAAGGAACTCAAACGGCGCGTCGGCATTGTAGTGGCCACGATGGGGAAGAATGTTCAAGAAAGTCCGTACCAGATCCAGATTTTCTCCAGTTACGTTAGACACCTGAAAGATAGGACAGATCCGCTGACTGACAAACTGCGTTGCCGTGTTGATGGTCTGATCCATGTCTTTCACGAAGATGGGTATCTTGCGAGCCCCAGGGGACTTGAGGATTTTATTTAGTTGAGACAAGGTCTCCTGGAGAATTTGTGGGGGGCAGATATCAATTTTGGTAACAATGATCATCACAGGAACGTTTAGAGCCAACGCAATCCCTAGATGCTCTTTGCTCATACCGATCAAACCGTTGTTGGCCGCGACCATCAATAAGCAGTAGTTAGGGCTGCTGCTCAGCATGCCGAAGACCGTAGTTCGCAAGTATCGCTCGTGACCAGCCAAATCGGAGAAGGAGATGACCTTGGCAGACCGCTTCCCTATCTCTTCCCAAGACAGTTTGCGGCCCTGAGCGCTGGTCACGATCTCCCCACGACTGTCGAATCCCATAATCTCCATGCCGACGGAGCTGGTCCGGCCGCTCTCGATTTCATGTTTATGTCGGAAAAGATTGACTCGAGCTTTACCGCGACCATCGTCGAGGTTTCCCTTTACGAGAACTCCGAGCATGGTACTCTTACCAGCGTCCACGTTCCCCACAACCGCTATCCGGAGCTCAGCCATTTCCTCCACGGTTTCTGCTGGCTGCCGGATGAGGAGCTTGCCGCACGAGCCCTTCATTCGATCATTTCTGACCTTGGATTCCTGAGGGCCTCCCACATTGTAGGTGACAAGAATACGGCAGTGTGCGGGCAGTGTTCCCGCCGCCTCCTGTACGCGATGCAACGCCGCTTCCCACTGGGTCAGATCAAAGCCCATGGACTCACCACCATCCTCAATCCCCACGTCAAATATCGCTTCACCATGACCTTCGTCAATACGTGTTTGTATAATGCTTCCCAGTAGTTGCAGACTGTCCTCTTGTTGGTCACCTGTATTCAATAGCAAGTCTTTCAATCGGGTTGGTTTCGGAGTGTCAGACAATCCTAGCTGGTCAAGGATCTCCAGTTCTGCATGGTCTTCGTGTATTCGGGATACACTGGCAGTAGAGTAGCCGCTGTCGCTAGGAGCAACAGAGCGATGCGCTTGTTGTTTTTCAGCGTATTCCGCGAAATCGCTGAGCGCCTATGCGTTGACAGTCAGCAGGTGGGGCAGAGGCAAGGGAAGAGAGGTATACGATCTCGCCTCTTCGCCGCTCCTCCGGAGTAAGTTTCGGTCCAGCCGGGGCCATGCTTGGATCTTTGGTTGTTAATAATGAGACTATTGTATGAATGAGACTATTAATACACGGTACTATACGAGCTGTAAGGTCGGATAGGTGACGATTCGCCTCTGGCGCATTCAGATACGTATTCGTGTTATCATAATTTCACGACGATGGATAAAGAAATTGGGAGGAAGCAACGGTAAATGACCGCGTTAGTCGATACAGAGCGTAACTGAGTAACTCGGGGAAATAATTAGGAACGTCTGAGGGGTTAAATAGCTGAAGAGATTGACGTGGTATGAGGCTGAACTGACAAGTGTGGAGCGGACTTGGGGGAAGCTTTATCGATAAATGGGCGAAGTTACCGCCTGAGTCATACGGCCAAACAGAAGCACGACGAAGGCCGTGGACCACAACATGTAAATAGTAAATTATTTATGACATAAAATAAATTGAGTCGCCTATAGAAGATATGACTCAGGTCGCATGCCATGTAGGAGTCATCATCTGATGTTTAGGCTCTAATTTCTTCGCACATGACGTCTGTTTAACAAGTGCCATACCATACTAGTAGTCTTCGTCGATGACACACTTAAAGACCCAGGAACCGGAATAAGACTATAGTCCACCACTCTGAGGCCATCGCCCGGTTTCATAGTTCCCTTCCTTGTGCTCCCGTATGTAGGAGAGTCAATAGTCTCCTTCGAGATCGGTGTTCCCTTTCGACGAGTCCATCATCCACTTTGTCCATCCGATCGAATCTTATCAGGCTTGGGGGGATATTAAAACGACGGAGTCTCCTGAAAACGGAATTAGTTGATTCTGTCTCAATTTATGTCCAAGTATGATGGTAGTTGTTTCGACGCACCTCGCACAAAGAGCATTTCCTCCTGTCTCTTGATTGTCTGTAGCAAGCGATATATTAGCCATAATCGTCCGGAAGAACATCCGTATTCGCACAACAGATTATCGCTCCACCGAAGGTGCAGATAGTATCGGAGAAGATGGGATCAATGGGAAGTAATGCGACGTACTCGGATTATTTCTTCCTCATTCTCATCCTCCTCAACCACGTAGATGGTCTCCTCCACATCTCCCATCACCAAGTTGCAATGGCTGTCGTATGCCTATATGAGGACGCTAATCAGCCGCAAGGTCGAACATCAATAGAATTAAGCATAACAAAAGACTTACATGGAGACGACCCTTCAGCTCGCGATCACCGCGGAGCTTGACAAAGACGATTTCATCGAGGGAGAGGCGCACCAGATCCAAAGGTTCGGAGACGGACGTGGTGCCCGCATCTTCCGTGTCGGCCATTTTTTTTGATTGAGCGAATGAAAGAGAAGAGGGGGGGGAAAGAGGGGAAAGGTTGAAAGGGGGCTTAGGAAGTCAGTTACTGTAGCAAAGCAGTAACCGAGGGTAGCAACCTAGTCAAAAGCTGTCGCGTTCAGGCCGTGTCAATCAAATCAATTCAATGCAGCAAATGAGGAGAAGCTGCAGGGATTCGTCGCCAAGGCGGCACCAACACGAAACAGATGACTTCAAAGAGGTCGGACAAGCTGTACTGTTTGTCCTACTCAACTTCTTTTCTTTCAACCTCAGGGAGGGCCTCTTTTGTTGTGGAAATTTTTGATATCTTCAACGGTCTCGATGCGGGGACTCGTACTTGCAAGTGAGAGATTTAGCTCTCACTTGGTGGTTCCCTCGTGCGGTCGCAATCGGTCCACTCAATTCGCTCTTTGCGCTGGGCCCACTCGACTGATAATAGTACCCGCTCGCGATTCCACTCAGTGGAGGTCCTTCAACAGCAACATTCCCAGAGATTCCTCCTGGAATGTGAATAATAGCCTCCCGAATGATCGGAGATCCTCTCAAACCCGTGTCGCAAACTCCCGGTTGAGTACGACAAGTATTCTAGAAGGTGGTGGCAGTCATTATGACCACGTACCCCACACCGCTGATGCGGTATCAAGTACCGACGGGGACCTGAGTGCACTGAAGGCAACATTCTATGAAATTATCCAAGATGGCCAACCTGACCAGGTCATGGATGCTTTGCTCGATCCTCGCAACGAAGAGTTGGTTGGTTCGATGCCTCAGACCGTATTCGTCGAAGTCTTCCATTTACTATCCCCCGCTTACTTTGTGGTTCCCTATCGCGAGATCCACCGGCCGATCCATCCAAGTGCCGCAAAACTCAAGAGATTTGAGTCGCTAGACTCCATTTTCAATGATTTTGCTACCAAATTAGCTACGGTGGTTTCGATTCGACGGTCGGCCGGTCAAGCCCTTGGTCTAGCGGAGTACACTCACCTGCTGGATTGTGCACGGTCTATTGGAGATGCTCTCATGGCCGACTACATTTGGCATAGCATGACAGAAGACGAAGTGGTTCCAGATGTTACATGCTACAATCATTACATGGAGGCCAAAGTCTGGGACAAGGCCTATACCGGGCGAGAGAGATATCACACACGGATGACTCCTTACGCTTATCGGCACAGAAGGTTTTTCCACCCAAATGTCGGTTGGCAGGGCTACCGTACCGCTGAGAAGAGCGTCCGAAAGGAAGTGCTCCAGATATTCAACAGCATGACCGAACAGGGGTATCATGGTGATGAGGTCACTTTTATCAATGTGATGCTGGCCTCCAGCCGTGTGGGCCATGTGCAGGGGATGAAGAACGTACTCAAAGTAGCGTGGAATGTTGACATCGATGCGCTCGCGACATTGGATCCATCTGAATTACCTCCAGCCACTAGTTACGATCGGTCGTCTCCTTTGTACCCTTCGGGTCGTCTCCTGTTTGCAATCGCCCATGCTTTCGGCACGAACAATGATATTTCCGGTGCATTACGAGCTATTGAATTCATTTCAAACTCGTACGATATCTCTGTCCCGGAAACAGTCTGGCTTGAACTTCTCGAGCGCTCCTTTGTTCTGTCCCGGAACCGGTTCGGTCCTGACGCAAAGCGGAATTCATTAGGCAAAGTGCCTCCCGAGTTTGTGAAGGGTGTTTTCGAAACAATGACGTCGAGCAATTTCGATGTCCGTCCTACAATTGATGTACATCGTATCCTTGCCAAGACAGCATGGGATCAAGCCAGGCTGTCGGAATTTCAACAGCACATGTGTGCTGCTTACGACCTTTTGCGAGAAACCAGACAGAAGCGGAGAACAGCGAAAGACATCATCGAAGCTTACCTAGGAGGGGCGTCGTCTTCCCGACGGGGATCGCGAATTGACACGGCGCTCCTACAGTCACGAGGTTTCGCAGAGGCGGTACACACCTATGATGTCCTCCGATTGCGCACTGCTCAGCAGACCATCGCCATGGAACGCTTCGCGAGACTCCTCGTTACGCACAAAAGGTGGACGGGCCGCGACAATCCGGTATGGGAGCGCTGCCTCCTCCCTCAAATGCTCGAAGAATGGCAGGATTTTCTCCCACAGTCCTTCCAGTACCGCACCAGGGACGGCCAAGTCAATATCCTGGGCGCGACGCACTGGGGCCAACATAGATTGGCACTCCACAACAGGGTCCCAGTCCGTCGACCTACTGCGGAAAATGGCGTTGAGCTGGACGAGGAGGCCATGGAAATGGACGACGATTTCGTCTGGGCACAGTATCTACGCTCCAACCCCGGGCTCGACTTAAACGTCGCGCCACTGAAACGACTCTTCTCCGGAGTCGTCGAAAGAACCCGCAGACCTAGACCTTCTGTCATAGATAGAGAATATGTTCCCGAGCCCCAAAAGCTGGACTACGAGGCCGATGAACTGTCTAATCTGCCGGAGGAAGATTATGCCGAAACGCAATGGACTGCACAGAGACAGAAGGGAAGAGAAGTACCGGGCGTTATACCTGGGAACTTTGACATGGTATTTTCTTAGCTTTGCTTTATTTCCTTCTCCTTGTTCTTTTTTTTTTTTTTTTTTTCCTGGGTTTTATTTACGCCTTGAACGATCCGCACAGTCGGGTTGATGAGCTGCTTATTCGATCAGTTACGAAGCCTCTGATACTTCAGTATGTTGTTCAGCATCGGCCATATACCCTGTCCATAGTATTTGTTGCCAATCCAAATATTCTCTTTGTCTGCCAATGTGCTTTGCTTTGATATTGCTTCCGTAGGTCAATCGCGTATATATGTAAAAGTACCGAACAGATACTCTCCCCACGTGTAGTAAAAGGACAGCACTGTAAAGAGAAACCGAGATTTACCAACATACTAAGCCTTGGTGTTTGTCATTGATGGACCTTTCCAGTCCCTCAGCAAATTATGTTCTAAGTAATCTGATGGTCAAATATCAGTTACCCTAGGATTATTCTTGACAGCGAGCCACGCAGTCCTGATTGCGCATCACTCTAATAAGTTAATTGGTTTATTTTGCGGAGTTAATATACAGATGGCCTTTCAGGGTGTCATTGTGTTTACATGAAGGCATAAAGAAATACATTTTTAGCTCACCAGATATGTGAATCTGACGCATCCAAGCACCAGGGTTGAACTTAACTCGAATAGTGCATTGTCCAAATCCTCCATCATAAAGCCATCGCTGCCATTCCCTGGACTGACTAAACCTTCTCACGCTTCAAATCATTAACCGCCATATAACGACCAAAAGAAATCCACCCGTATCGAAACCAAACCATCTGACTCCGATGAGCCTTGACCATAGCCGACTGCGCCGTCATCCATTCACCAACAGAGCTAACAAACAGAAGCCTCGCAGGCGTATCATCCTTCGAGGCACGAGATGAGCCCTTCAAGCTCGAAAACAGAGCATCGACAGCCCCACGCGCCATGCTCAACGGCGCATCAAGCACGCCGATATATTTGCGCAAGATGTTCGTCGTGGTGAGCGTGTACAGCGAGACCGGGCAGGTATACCCGGATTTATCCTTCATCAGGGTACGAAGGAAGTGGACAGCGCCATAGTAGAGAGAACGGTGGTTAGGATGGTTGCTTATACCATGTCTGTCAAAGGTAAGGAGCACATCGATAGTCGCGACGGGTGGTTTGTCTCCAGTTGCTCCTCGTTTCCGGGAACCGGACTGGGTGTCGCCCATTTCGGGAGCGAAGGCTGAGGCAAGCAAGCTTGAGACGTCGCTTTCTGACCAGGTAGCGCTCATGCTGTCGGGGAAGCGGGTTGGGTCGTCTATGATGAGGACATCGGACTCGTTGCGGAGGCCCAGATGCACGGCGCTTTTTTGGAGCTCCTTTTTGCGGATGTGGCCTAGTCCGTCGGCGTCTCCTGGTGGGTTGTTAGCGTGCTTGGAATAGAGTGAGGTGGTTCTATGCAACGTACCGCTACTGAGACATAAGATCTTGAGATGGTTTCCCAGTTCTGGCTTGGTTAAGGCTAGCACTGTCGGCGCGAAGAACATAGCCTCATCGTCGGGGTGGGCTATTAACAGGCATATTCGCTTGTTGTACAAGCGAGGGAAATTACGAGCAAATGGTGAGGAAGACGTTGCGGATAATGTCCAGAAGATGAAGACGGCTGTGACAGCGAAGCCCAGTGTGATGAATGATGATGGAGACATAGCACGAACTTTGAGTACTCAATAGGTTGGCCACGTCTTAAGCTAGCAAAGTGAAATATAGAGCCCACGGGAGTAAACGGCAAGGCTATTTTAAGAATTATGGTTCGAAGGAGCAAACACGGAAGTGACTATGAAAGTAGTGGAGGCGCATCCGACATTCTCTCTCACACCTTATGTTCCAGTCCAGTTATGTATTTCTTTAAGGTGGTGATATCTCGAGACAGTTAATAACAACTCAATTGCAGCATGGCATTTTAAAGATGAGAGAGAGAGCTATATCGTGTCCATTCAACATAATGCAGTGGGATATAGCATAAAGGGGAAGATGTGACTGCAAAGCCAATTGGGTGTGCGGTGTTATCACCACGTGACCGACGATAGCAGAAATCTACTACAATGTTATAGAAAACAACAAAATACTCCGTACCCTCTTGGCGTTATGCGAGGTCCCACTCACGGGAGCTTAGCATTGGAATGTCAACACCAAGCTAGACTTATGAACTTAGGATAGATAATTAGGCGTAGTAAACGTATATACTTAGCCTTGTTCAAGATCAGATAATCAAGCCTTCGTGTCGCAGTTAGACGCCATAACCAAGAACCCTTACTCAAAACTGTAGTGACTCTTTCAAGAGTGAGGTCTGCTTGAGGGGTTGTTCGGAGCTGGATGGTAGTAATCAGGAAGCATGAGAGAAGCTCTGGTTCTACAAAAAAAAAAAAATACAGGCAGATTCAATAGTTGCAGGTGGTGGACTTAATTAAGTAGATACTAGTACTCTTAAGCGCCGACACTCTTCCTCTCAACATCATGAGTCCATCGCTGGGTCTCAGTAGGTCTTCAAGACCTTCCGCGCGTTTTTTCATAAGACGAAAAGCCCCAAAGAGTTCATATCTTCTTCCGGCTTGGTGCAACCTGCAATTGAGCTGTTGCTAAAAATAAGCGCTTCTTTGGACTGCCCAGCGTAGTGTTCTTTCCGACTCACCTGCAAACCCATATACGATTATACCCTGCCTCAATTCTACCATGCATATCTTGAGACTGCTAAGACAGAGCTTTCCCTAGCCTCTATTCAGAGGCTAGATGCGTTATCGCAGAATTTGCGACTATGTCCACATGTCCACTCATTAGATATCAGCGGCATGGATGATGATATCTTAGGATCAGAACTCAAGTGGGAACGGCACGCCTCTGGACTTATTGTTATCCCACAGGAATCTATTCAACAGTGGCAGAATACCCTACTGCGCCTGGTGAATTGTCAGTCCTTTCGCCTGTACAAGCATTTCACGCTAAATCGTCCCAGCCCACCCAATATTTTGACCCCCAGTGATACAATTACAATACTTCTCAGCATCGTCGCTACAATAAAGCGTCCACTACGAGGCTTTAGTATCCTGTTCAACCCGCAAAATTGCGGTGGAAGGAACCTGAACGGCATGTCCCGCGTTGACAAAGGCCTCTTCCGAGAGCCGAAGTTCATTACTACATGTTCTTAATCTGGAAGCCCTCAGGTTCAGGCACACAATGGACACAGAAGACACGGTTGACTTCGTGACACAGCTTATACAACATACGATGCGCCTGCAACGACTGAGGATCGATGCTGATTATGGCGACCACTTGACAACTCTTATGTCTCGCTTGTACCCCGCCCAACCCACCCTTAGGTTACGTGAACTGACTTTAGAAACCGCTCACGTAGGCTCGAGCCACGCCTTGAACGTGTTCTTGGCCTCTTTCAAACAGAATTTGACCAATGTATCGTTCGCTGCTATCCAGCTCGACTCAGGGGAGTGGGCGTCTGTTCTACGCACCCTTTCTAAAAAATTTCCGTCGCTGACTGAAGATTCCACATATGTGCTCGGTCAAGTAGGATCTTAGAGAGTACACTTTCCTGCAGTGCTGTAAAATCCTATCGTTGACCCAGTTCGGGGGCAAATTTTTTCGTACACTGACAGAAAGCTTCGGCAAGGACAGAGGACCCTGGCGGTTGCCTACTCCGGTCGTAGCGTGGACCATTGCAAAAAATTGGCTGACTTTGTAACGTCTTACAAAGCTACAGACTAGAGCTGCTACTCTTGCATTGATCTCCTGTTCATAGAAAAGTAGCAGATGTTCAGATATCTTTATACTGATTTCCTTAATATATACGGCAGCCCGGAACCAACGACTGGTTGCATCTATTGGCACACTTTCCTCTCAATTTGAAGAACCCAAAATTTCTCTACCCTTGTCGTCTAAATCCAGGTACTATCTCAAATGGCACAGATATGTTCAAAAACGCCTTCGCATTCCCATACGCATCCAAACGTTCCCGTAAAAGCGTTTTCCATAGTGCATCCATCTGCGTGAGACCCCAGGAAGTCAGGACATACTCATACTAGATAGAGTTTTCATTTTGATCTTTGGGCCCTCATCTGGGCGTTCCTTTAAAACCAGATCAGATCCGATCGACCATACGCCTCGATTGTGGGTGCCATAAATGAACTTGACGTGGCTAGAATAGTAACTTTGTCTTTGTTTTGTAGATATCCAGCCACAGGCAATGCAATCTTCGGCATTTTCATCCTCCATTTTATAAGAACTTCTTAGGGGAGGCAGAATTTCAGGAAGATATACGAGTCTGAGATATGAAAAGAATAAGGGAATGAGAATGCGCTGCTACGTGATATAAGTTTTGGTTAAAGCGAATGAGTGTCGTGGGGACTGATAGAGTATGATGACATAGGTTTCATCCGACTGGTGCCCTCACGGCCACCCGCTGACCAGCGATGAGCACTAGGTACTAAATATCTCATACCATGTACTGTTATGTCAGATTAAGTGCTCATATGAGGCTCAAGAAACTCTCTATTTTAGACCTACTAAAGTCACCAAGTGAAGCGGCTTGTAAGTATATTTGTATAACGGAGGATTTACTATATGGGGGAGATAGCCTGTTAACTAGGTAAGGATCCGTGGGCGAGGAAGAAGGGAAACGTCTATCATTGACTGAATAGTAGACTGGAATACTAATCAATTGATACCTGTCCCTTTTTGCGTATTTGGTACTGTTTTTCAGGCCACCTGGATATCCTATGCGGTTGACAGCCAATTCTATATCGGAACCACGACAATCTGATGGATTAGACCCCGCATCCAATTATAACACGACTCTGTTAATCCCGTTATATCCGGCAGTTCATCAGCCAATTCTATATCAGAACCATGACAATCTGATGAATTGGACCTCGTGATATCTGTTAACCCCGTTATGTCCGACGCTCCCTAATAAACTCCTAGATGGAAATTCAGTTGTTTGAATATCATCAGACAATTACCCGTTGATTTGCGAGTCTTGGATAGACAGTCTTCTGGCGGAGTTAACGGGCGTATGCCCTCAAGACCTCGTACATGATATCACTGCGCCTGTGCCTGACCATATAGTATCAGCCATATATCAGTAGTTTGTTATTTTAACCTACACAACCGCCTATCCAAGGAGAACATAGTATCACCTCGCTATGTCTTCCGAACCACTTCTCGCTCGCTACCGACAGCTCGCCCCCTCGGCGTCTGTCAGAGTCTCCTCTCTATGCCTAGGTGCCATGACCTTCGGCACAGCGGCAAAAGAGCGATACGGAGAATGCAGCAAGGATGCCGCCTTTGAGATCCTCGACTATTTCGTCAGTCAGGGCGGCAACTTCATCGACACCGCTAACACATACCGAGAAGAGCAATCCGAAATTTGGCTGGGCGAATGGCTTGCCTCCAGGCAAAACAGGGACCAGATGGTAATTGCAACCAAATACACCACCGGCTGGCAAGGTCATCACAAGGACAAAATCCAAGCCAACTATGGTGGGAACGGGACCAAGTCAATGCGTATCTCGCTCGAAGCGTCCCTACGCAAACTCCAGACAACCTATATCGACTTGTTCTACGTGCACTGGTGGGACTACACTGTTTCGATCCCGGAGTTGATGCACAGCCTGAATGACCTTGTTGTCTCTGGGAAGGTCTTGTACCTGGGTATCTCTGATACACCCGCTTGGGTGGTCGCGAAAGCCAACCAGTACGCTCGTGATCACGGCCTGCGACAGTTCACCGTGTATCAGGGGATGTGGAATGCAGCGATGCGTGATTTTGAGCGAGATATCATACCTATGTGCCGCGATGAAGGTATGGGCTTGTGTCCCTTTGGGGTGCTGAACCAAGGTCGCTTTCAAACTGAAGAGGGGTTCAAAGAACGCGAGAAGAGGACCGACTGTCGGAATTTCGTCCCTTTGTCTGAGCACGATAAGAAGGTTTCCCGTGTACTTGAAAACGTTGCTAATGCGAAAGGAGTAGAGCTTCTGCAAGTCGCTCTGGCTTATATTTTACAGAAAACACCCTATGTGTTTCCCATCGTCGGCGCTAGGAAAGTTGAGCAAATCAAGGGAGTGATGCCGGCTGTTGGGATTACGCTGACGACCGAGGATATTGAGAAGATCGAGTCGGCGTATACGTTTGACCCTGGGTTCCCGCATACTTTCCTCAGCGGGACGCTGATTGGGGTCGTTGGGGATGGCGTCCCTCGAGGCGCTTATGGCCCAGGTGATATGTGGTTGACCAAATCATTGGGAACTTTTGACTGGGTAGGGTATCCGGAGGCAATTTCACCAGCTGAGAGACAATAACAGCCGAATGCTCAATTATCTTGCATAACAGTGAGCAACTAGAAATGTCTAGTAGCTAGTTCTATTGGCTAAATACCTTTATTACATCAAGATAGTCTCGATATATCTCAAAAGATTCATATTTACCCAAGTCACCTGATTCGTATACTCTTGATCCGACTGCTTGATCAGATATATCTAGATGTGCGTGCAAATGTTGTCAATGAATCATGGTCAAGAGCAAGTGAAAGCGAAATTATCTGACCCGCTAGTAGCTACATGATATAATAGACAGGTATTTGGACGGTCAAATTGCTATAGCAAGATAAATTACTCAACCCAGTTCTACAACATCAACACGTGCGTTAGGTTTAAACTTGGACAGTGTCAGGCCAAAGCGAACACTTGAGATTGTGTTTGTTCAGATGTGAATCCACGGGTGGATCACAATGCGGCGATTACTGCCATGTGGAAAAGGTTCCCGTATAGACATGCATTAAGCTTCGGCGTTTGTAGCCAACCACCATTAGATCAGATATAGGCGATGTGCAACCGCCACCACGCCAATTAAAGAGCCTCGGCAATATGGAGCATTTGATTTGACTCGGCCGAGCACACAGACCCTGGCTTGCATGGATCTATAGTTGTCCAAGCCTGATACGTTGAAGCTATGGCAGCATCGATTCTGTGAGGGGGTCACTCAGAGCTATATTGTTCATGGTCACTGGCATGTACATATGTACACTAAACTAAGATACCTGTATTATTCGCAGCGGAGAACGTCATCACTAATGACGCGGCAATAGTACATTAGTACATACATACACACATAAGAAAAGAGGAGTATATTGTGAATTGGCATCTACAACACATGAACTAAATTCGAGGCCCGATGAATACCTAATGTCGGAGGAGAATCCCGTAGGTGAGTCATGTCAAGATGTAGAGGAGTATGTACATCTAGAACAGCATAGATGAAGTGTAACAGGAAATGAGATCCCGGATCGTGCGATGTCGGAAGCGGTATCCGGCTAGCGGTTCACGTCGGGACAGCAATCCGGCAGAGGCAATAACAAGATAAGCTGATCGTCGACACCTGAATTAATAGGGTACCGACAAGCATGGCACATTACAACTGCCAAGGTAGGAGACTCCGATAGATTGAATCAGGTTATTAGACCTTTTTAGCCTAAGATATCTACTCCCGTACATAGTAGTATGTTGCCATACCGCCTGTTAGTCATATTAGGTAATTAATCCAGTAAACTGATGGCGCAATTGGAAAATCGTGAAAAGCCCTGAGACTTGGAAGGGCGGTGCGTACTCCGTAACTGTCACTTCAATACCAATTCACTTCTCACACACCCATACACTCCACCAACTAAGCCGCAAGAGTCGGACTTCATAGTATCTAATCAGGCGAGGGGGTGGTAAACGAACAAACAATCGGCAGGAGCCGAAAGGTTCTTCAAGAGGCGTACTCAGAGTAGATTGTTCAACCAATCAGCGTGGCGCGTCCAGCCACTATGCCAACCCGATCTGATCAGGGGGAGAGAAAACTCTGAGGCGCTAGTGACACAGGAATATGGAAACGGAGCGCCCTACGCTAGCCGTCGAAGAAGGCCGGGAATAGTCCGTGGAAACGAAGTAGGGCGTACAAAACAAGGTTTCGCTTTCCAGCGGAAAGCGCCGATGGATCAACCATGTGTCGCCCTCGGAAATTTTATGTCGTTGATTTGCAAGGAACGCGAATTAGTCACCCTTAACGACGAGCGGCGATCTCCATGCAATGGCCCCTGGACTCTACATCCGCATCTGATATAGTTGATGTACTCCGCAGTTAGTACACAGTAAATACCGCAATCGTGAATACGTGTTCAAGTCGAGCAAATTAATCCCTCAATCTGACGCTGTTTCGAGATGTCCAGACTGAAGGTGATCATCTATTTTTATTTCTATGTTTTATATTTCTTTTCAATCTCGTATGGAGTACACAGGGTATTAGGTCGGGACTGGCGTGAGATTCTGACAATAGGGGATTAGATCCCCATACGGAGTATGTAAACCAAGAATCAAAATCCAGTTGGAAGTGGATGTATGCCAAGCCTGCCCGAAACCAGCAATTACGCGCCGCTCGAGTCAGTGCTCACGGATGGAGGGGGTTAATGGTCTATACCGACAATTAGGATCCAGGATGATTGGATAGACAATGCCCGTACCGCAAGGGGAGAGGTCCTTGCAGAAACCAATAGGGCCGCTGAAACGAACCATGATATGAAGAGTGTTTCTCCGGATATACTTTGATCAACCTCAAGGCACTGCGCACGGGGAGAACTGGGTTTGTCGGAGAGCTTGGGATAGTTGCCGTATGGGCATCCGATCTCTCGTGGCATGATCGAGTCGGCCATCCGTCAGCATACTCGTGCCGAAACTCTGACATCGGGGGACCGACCAACAGACATGGCGAAACAAGACATGATGTCGTCTTAGATCTTCAGATTGATCAACAATCCAAGCGCATAAGGTGCCTTAGTCACGGCGGAGGACTTCCAATGGGCAGTGGCGGTGGTGAAACTGTTAGGTAATAAATATGGCGCAGGCGGTGGCCATTCGTCAGAAAACGTGCTTTTCCCCTGTTGACCACCAACGCACAGGGCACACTCCCTGACAGCAAGGTTGCGTCTAGAACTATGTCGAGCGTTGTGATGTGTTGCACATCAACTGATCCTCGTAAATATCGTCTTTTGTCTCCTTCAGACCGCTGTCTGAATACGCCTTGATCACCATTCATCCGCCATTATCTCTCATCTTATGATTTACCAGCCAAGACGAATCGCGAAAACCACCAGCAGGCGATGATGAAATGCCCCGCAAACGCTCAATTTCCTGCAGTGCGGGGGGAAATGAAAAAGAGATTTGGACCAACGAGGGGCAGTTGAGCGCCCTGGAATTTTCCGAAATTGTGCCTTCTACCGCCGATCCTGTAGGGCACAACATGCTAAGGCTTGCCCAGATATGGCAATCACAAGGAGACCCACGCTCTGACCACTATCAAACAAAAATCAATAATCTCGGGACGAAGTCCAAGGTGCTCCTGGGACCTGAGGATATTCTCCGGAAACTGGTATTCTTACCCGTGGAAAGCAAAGGGGTGCGAACTTTGAGGGTGAGTTTTAAGGATTTTCTTTTTCTTTTCTCCCGTTAGTAGTGGGGCCCGACCATGTTGCAACCGCATGAGCCTACCTAATTTAAACTGGATAAAATAAAATAAAAATAAAAATCGATGTATAGAAAAAAATTTTCTTCTGACCGGTCCCTTTTCCGAACGGTGTGCTTCCGGTTCGATGGGTGTTAGCGTCAGCTTCCAGGTGGTACTGTGCCCCTCCATCTTGCAAAAAACGGAAAAGCGGCATCACAGTTCCAAAGGATCTCCAACTAGCGCCGTAACCGCTTGCCGTATGGTACTGTATATCCGCGTACCGGTGCCGGTCACCGGTTGTATGAGCAAGACTTACGCCAGACCGCCTGAGGACGCCGGGCCTTCAAGTCTTTTCATGACGCCACGTGATGGTTCGATGACGGCAGCTGACCTGCCAGAAAGGGTCAAAATAGCGCCGCCCTGGAAATCAGGCGCAACGGGTAACCGGACCGCCTGCTGACTCAATCGTATGTTTGTTTTTGTTGTATGTGTGGTGGCTGATGATTTTTTCATGGGCCCCAAATTATCTTCTCAGCCTGTCTCTCTTGTTCAATTGCTGTGTTGCTGGACAATGGATCTAGAATTTGATATATTTGGTTGTCGTCGTGGCACTGTGTCTTACTACAATCTTCTAAGTATGGAACAAGCCAATGAGCTTTTGTAATGATGAAACTTTTAGTCCTGTCTAGAACATGAGTCAGCATGCGGACCCTTGGTTGGGAGACTTGGAGTACTACTATACTTACAAGACATGACAGCATTGTCTACAATTTGGCATTGTTAATCCGGTACGCCTTCAAGAATGGTCAGGAGTTCTTGATTCTATCGGCCGAACCCCACCCGTCAAAGCGCTGCGTGTACACCGTACATAGTAGAGGTACGGGGTAGGGATGCCGATTGCGCATGCTTTCTGGGAATCACATCCAAGTCCGGTAGGGTTTGACGGTCCCGGGGATTGGCAACTATAGATCGTCAAATCTTCAGGTGAGTCACTGCGCACGGGCTTTAAGCGATGCATCCTGCAGCGTCATGTGTTGAATATCTTTATATCCTTTTGTACATTAGTGTAGTCTTTGTCATTCCTTTGCGGTATGTTGTCAAATGATGTGAGCGCGGAGATGTAAAAGCTGCAACTCCATGCGGTATACGACCCTACGGAGTAGGTACCGGAGTAGACTAGACTAGACTCCGCGGAACAAATACTCGGTCGGCCTCACATGCCCACAGTTCTTTGTTGTTGTTGTTGTCGGGGTCTTGCTCCGGCTCACTTTCTTCGAAGGATGTATGAGAGTAGTGTAACCGAACTTGTCAGATCATTGCTCCCCGATCTTGCGTAACTATTTTTCATGAGATTGCGTGATCTTTGTTTTTAGAATCTGGGGATTCAAGATTACTACCAAGTATATCCAGTGGACATTCTTAAATCTACCTTATTCTAGAATAAAGGTATATGGTTAAGACTGATGTAATTTCAACACGCAAGCTGCCAATAAGGGACTACCTTGTGGACAGTAGTAATACTGGTTAAATTCGACTTTTATTACCCTCCTAGGGAAATTTCTACGCGATGAGCAAGCGAAGACCCTTCAATCCTCTGCTATTTTTGCACCGAGGGTACTCCGCCCCGCCGTATGGAAATGTACGGTAACTGTATGGTAAGATCCACAGTGACGCTTTTCTGCCGTGCCCCACTTGGACCCCATCGAAGTGACGGAGCTTTAGGGTGGCCAGACCGGGAATTATTGGTACCTTGTAACATGGTGTGGGAACCACCTAGAATCAACTAAAAAAAAAAAAAAAAAAAGAAAAGAAAAGAAAAAGAAAAATTTCAATTTTTGGTAAAAAAAAAGAACAATGGTATATATAGAAGAAGTTTGGTACTAACAAGAAAAGCTTGTCCGAGTTCATTCAAAGCCAGCGGTTCGCCCACCTTCTACTCTCTGATTCCTAGAAGAACATTAACACTTTGTTCCCATTCATCAGTATCCTTCACTCGGAACCAGGAACCGATTCTATACTATAAGTCCTAGAACCTCATCGTCGATTCACCGTACCTGAGCCTAGTATTCCTCCATATCACCGTCATTCTGGCTTCATAACTTCCAAAAGATTATGTTCTGGGTTGTCTGCCTCACATCTCAACTTATACAACACCGCACTGTATCCTGAAGTCAGCCGGACATACTGAAGTATTAGTCACATACACGCAATCACTGTTTTCGATTCCACAACAGTCATCTACCTCCACAAGACCATACTGCTCTCTTACTAGAGAAGCCACCCTTACATCTTTCTCTTTATTTGCATCTATTTGGTCGGCATCGAGTCCCTAGAAGTGGACATCAATCAACATGCCCGGCCGCCTCCTTTCTAGCCTTGTTCGCCCCCACGTGCACCACCACACATCCTTCTCGTCGCATTCCAACTCTTCCTCATCTACCTCCGTTAATGAGATCCCCACCAACACAGTGGCCCACAAAAAACCATCCGCAAATGTGCTTGAACGAGCACGCTCTCCAGAGCGCCGTTTGTCTTTCGCGGTTGATCATCTAATTCACCCTCACAGGGATCACAGCAAGGAGAAGCGCCGCAGTCATGGGCGTTCCTCCGGTTCAAAGGAGCGTCTAGGCGAGCATGGCGTTAGTGCCACTGCCAAGTTGGACGTTGTCGTTGAGTCACCACCGCTTGTCTGCTATGGCAGCCCGGCTAACTCGACTGGTGCACTATTCTCCGGCCGTTTGAAGATCACTGTCTCGGAAGTGGTTGACTCTATTACTCTCGATAAGTTTGACATGAGATTGATGACCAGGATGACAACGAAGAAACCAGTCTCGAGAGAATGCCCGAACTGTGCCTCTAGAACTGAAGAGTTAAACCACTGGAACTTCTTGACCGAGCCGCTTCACTTGAAGCCTGGCGACCACGAATTCCCTTTCAGCTACCTCTTCCCTGGTCATTTGCCCGCTTCTTGCAATGGATCCCTGGGAAAGATTGAGTACTACCTCTCTGCCCATGCACAAAATACCACCGGTGAAGAATACAATTTCCAGATGCCTTTACACATCAAGCGCGCTATCCTACCCGGAAACGACAAATCCTCAATCCGTATTTTCCCTCCAACTAACCTCACGGGCCGCATTGTGCTTCCCTCGGTCGTTCATCCCATCGGTACGTTCCCCGTCCAGATGACTCTGAGCGGAGTCGTGGACAAGGGCGAGGAGACCCAAACCCGCTGGCGTTTGCGCAAGATGATGTGGCGTATCGAAGAGCACCAGAAGATTGTTTCCCCAGCCTGTGGTAAACATGCGCACAAGATTGGTGGTGAGGGCAAGGGCGTCCTTCACCAGGAAACTCGAATCATCGGACATAACGAAGAGAAGGAGGGCTGGAAGACGGACTTCGATACTGCCGGAGGCGAGATTAGCATGCAGTTCGAGGCAAGCATCAACCCCACCTGCAACCCTGTGTGCGATCTTGAGGCCTCCGGTGGACTGGAAGCCAAGCACAACCTCGTTATCGAGTTGATCGTCGCCGAGGAATTCTGTCCTAACCGCAACACCAGGCTCATCACGCCTACAGGCGCAGCCCGTGTCCTCCGCATGCAGTTCCACTTGCATGTCACTGAGCGCAGCGGTCTCGGCATCAGCTGGGACGAGGAGATGCCTCCGATGTATGAGGATGTTCCTGCTAGTCCTCCCGGATACACGAAGCCCGACGCCAGCAGTGTCATGGAAGACTACCACGGCTCTCCGCTCCCACTTCCAGAATACGAAGATTTGGAGCGCATGGACTCCCTTCGACTGGACAGCGACTCTACCCACTCTTCGGCTCGCTCAATTCTCTCAACACGCGGACGATCTCGATTTACCACTGACGATCTTACCGCCGAACCCATGACACTCGAAAGCCGCAATCGAGCCCCGTCGGCCGATTCGCGAGCCTCTCGGGCATCCGAGTAACTTCTACAACACGAACATTAGCAGACCATTTCAGGCCAGCTCTTTCGCTCCTTTCTTTCCTTCACTGACGACGTTACGATTTCTCACGACCGAATGACCTCAACTTGAACTCAGAGAAACCAATACCAAATTTCTTTCAACATTACCATGAACAACGGACACTTAATCAACATTGTTGTTTTGTTTTTCTTAGAGAACATATTTGGGGAAATACCAGGGCTGAAAAAAAAAAGTTTTCCTTTTGTTTCTTCTTCTTTTTTTTGGCTGGACGAAGATATCCTTTTCCATGATACCCGTCATCTGCTGAGGGTTTTTACCTTATTAATCGTTTCTATACTATACAGATGGATACCTTATGGTTTTTCTTTTTTTTCTTCAAAGATGATACACATACCCTGTTGGTAACTAATAATGCAATGAACCAATACAATAATCCAAAATTCTTCTCAATTATACTTGCTTTCCTTATACTATAAATAGACTGGTATATTCAACAAGGTTAAATTAAGCTTGGATGACATTTATGACATGTCCTCAAAGCCACCAAAAACATAATCAGCGATAGCTCATACCAATCAACCCAACCCATCGACGAATCCCTACCCAAGTTGCCATGGACCACCACATCCCAAACATCGGTACTTAATCACCACAATCCTTGGATTGATATGGCCAAAAAATTTCAAGCATATGCATATACCAACCATGGCCGTACTACAGACATACACGTAATCAAATGCTACATGTTCCACGTAAGCCAAGGTGGTAGCCGCCGCTTTCGTCATGTCATTGTTCCTTATGTACGGGACATCGGGCCGTTTGCGGCGTTGAACCCCTTTCTGTCAAACTCGGATAAACTTCCTTTGTTTGGTTTCATATCCTTGTTTTTACTACATACTTTAAGTCTTCATTTCACTAAGGAGTATCATACATCGGTTTTCGGGTGGTTCGGGTTTCTTGTTCGTGGGTTTGGTTTGGGCTTTTTGCTAGGATGTGTTGTTGTATACGTGGATTCATGGTGGGTTGCTTGGTGAGTTGGAATATTTGTTGTTGCAGTAATGAAGTGTGTCTTATTTGGGTTTATGTGGTGTTTAATTTGAAGTGTTGTATTTGTACCATAGTCTAGATGTTGGGTAATTGGGTTGTTTCATCTGTTCGAGGAGTTGTTATGGTGAAGATAGGTAGGGTAGAGTCTTGTTAAGGTATTTGTCTGTCTGGAGGTGATCGACCCTGAGAACCTACGAGTTGTGCTTTACATTCATGATCAGATGTAGAAAAGATGTAGTAATATTCAGTAGATGATCTTGTTACCTGGGGAATCTAACATATGTGAGGCAGAGAAATGCTATGTACAATACAGTTCCAGACTGTGTCAAAACTCGGGCGCTTTTACAACATCAGACAAATAAACAAAACAATAAAATAACATCAGTGAAAATAAATCATGAATCGAAGATAGGGCCGAAAGCAGGGATGCCCCCTGACTCGAGCTCGTAGACCACTTTCTTCGTCACGAAAGGATTGCTAATCACACATACAGCTTCCGCATCGAATTCCTTGTAGAGCTGTCGAATAATTGGCACCATATCGATACGACCAGACTCTCTAGTGTTGATGATGTATGGGTCTGCATCCATTTTAGAGACCAAGTCGATTATCCCTTGCCCATAGGTCTTCAGGGGAGTGCGAGTCTGCCATACAACACGAAGATTGGGTCGATTCTCATCGCCCAAGAATGAAAGGCACGGCCCGATGCCGGATCCGGTCGTGACAACAACCACTCTCCTGAATACTCTCATTGCGTATGCGAATCCATAGATAAGGACGCCTCGCTTCCAGAGGTGAGTGGGTTGATCGTTGATACAGGCTGTGGTCCAGTCCCCGGCTTTGGAAACGAGGCTTGAGAATGTTTTGCCCTCGGGGTCTGGGAAGGTTGCAAAGCCATGCCAGTCGCGCAGTGGATGCCTTGCCAGCTGAATGCCTTTGCCAAATGTAGTGGTGGTATGGTTGAAGTGAAGTCTCACGGCATGGTTTGAGAGGTATTCAGGCGTGACAGGGACCTTGCGCAACAGTAGCCACGGGTGGACAATGGCAGCGACGGTCACCATCAAGAACCAAAAGGCTGGAAGTTCAATAAGAAAGCGACCAAATGATTGATGGGCAGCCTGGCTAAAATCGTTGACGAAGAGCATGAGAAGTGCCACGAAGAGTGCCACCACCAACCATCCAGAGAAACGATGTGTCAATTCGAAGTAATCATGTTTCTTGAACCGAAACCCAGGATAGGCAACGACGATGATTGCGAGAAGCAAGGCCAGAATAATGTAGGCCACGACAACTGGAGCTACGGAGATCGTAGACTTTCCGGTCGATGGAGACCAGTACTCCTTCGACATCAAGCCCACGAAGCCCGTATACCAAATAAACGAAGCTACTCCGCACCCGCTATGGACTCCGCCGTAGTGGTAGACTTTTGCTGCAATACGGCGGAGTCTCAAGGGGGCAGATCGGGGGATTGAGCACACAATGAGGAAGATGGCATTCACCACCAGAGGTTGGCGTGCCAGACCACATGCAAGTAAGTTGGCAGCGGTTGCGTTGACCAATGCCAGTAGTTTTCGATCTGCTGTCATAACATAGATAAAGACCGCAACATTGGCACAAAAGACCAATGTAAATAGACGGCGGTAGATGTTGAGGAGGGCGAAGCGAGATGAGGAGAACGGCTTCTTCTTGGGGGCCTGGGCTTCCAAGTCAAAGCTATCAGGGCTCTGTGTCAGAGAACGATCCGCCTTTTCTGAGATAAATTTCGGCATAGTCGTCTCGACGTCCACCAGTGTGCTCCTGGGGCTCGTCGGCTCCGACGCACATTTGGCCGGCGGAGGGACTGAGATGACACTCTTTTCAGAGAGCGACATGGTTGGGAAGCTCAAGTAGAAGCAGAAGAGGTGAATGGGTGAATGGGTGAATGGATGAATGAATCAAAGAAAGAAAGAAACAAGGATGCGAGGTAATAATGGAGGGTACCTGATATGTGAAGAAGGACAAGGAGTAAGTAAGTCAGTCCGTCTGTCCTTAAGTCAGGTACCAGCAAAAACAACAATGCATTTATTCACTCGATATTGTGAAGTTCAATCATGCAGGGCACATGCAGCCTTTTGAGTTGGCACATGATGACGCTTTCCCCTCTTCCTCTCTCTCTCTCTTTCCTAATGTGTGAACGTACATTAGACAAAGGGACCATCAATTGATAGTCTCATTCCTTCATTTTCCTACATCTACCTTTTTTTTTTTTTTCTTTCCTTCAACCCCACCTGATTACCTTTTCATTCACCTTCACTTTCACTTCATTCTGTGTGCGTGCGGTGGGTATGAATGACGCTATGGTTGGGATCATTGTCCCACTATGACTCGATAATCGAAATGATCTACTACCAATGAGCAACCATAGACGACATCATGACTCTTCAATTTCAGCTACCCCTCGGGCTTTGAACTATCCAAGGGCCAATGATGATATCCCAAGGGCATCTCGCACAGCCCGCCCCCATCGACTATGGTTCCGGGCCTAGGGATGTATTAGATGAATAGTCTAGTGCTGGTTCAGCCGACGGGCCTAGATAAGTGGAATCCCCGATCCAATCCGTCCAAGTGGTTTGACTCCATCGGATCAGGGTTCCTTCAATTGATCGGCATACTAGGCATGAACAATGCACTTGCCACATGAGTTCAGATACTCCACTGACCTAAGGCAGAAGCACGAGACACTAGCTTGATAATCGAGTCGGACAATCGGGATCCAAGAAAGTGGAAAGGCGGGATCTAGAGGAGGATCGCTTGACAGGTCTAGTGATAGACTCAAAGCACATGCAAAAACGCACGGATTCCTTCCTTTTTTTTTTTTTTTTTTTTTTCTTTCACTGAACATATGCGTTAGACCCTACGGTGAGACTTATTGGTCTCGAACTAGTGTAGTCAATAACGTAACGGTCTCGTACCAGGAATTACCAGGGTGCGGACTGAACGATCCACTTCCCTGGATGCTGGATGGGCGGGGTCCAGCAGTCGTTTACCGCCAATTTACGGCAGAGGGATCCATTGAGAATACCAGTCATGCATAGATTTCCTGATTTCAGGTCGTGGACGTCAGCCTGGTATGGGTCTTCAGCGAAGGTGGGGGCATGCAACACAGATCGCGCATTGGTATCTGAGCATGAGGGGCATTCCTCGGTTCCAAAGCAGGCTCTGGCTGCATCGACTTAAGTCGATAGTGTACTTCGCTAGTCGGGGGTGTTCGCACCGTGGCTCAGCTGCATGGGAAGTGCCGTGAAGACTACGCGATGACAGGACGATAGACCAATGGGGGAGGACGGCGGAAGACTTGCAAGATCGTGTCGGGCTGAAGCCGCCCAACATGGTGATTAAGTTATGGAGACAGATGATCAGAGAACCTAGTTCGTCTGCATGGCGGATGCTGTTCGCCTGTTCATTGCTTTTTTCAAGTCGGCCATGAAGAGGACCCACCGGCCGAGATCTGAATTATGGCGTTACGAACGTTCATTCGACAGAAGAGGCGCATAGTGCCAGTGGAGCGGAAAGAAGATCAGCGCCTCGATCTCGACGGAACCTTTAGCTTAGTGAAGTGACGATGTGTCGGGTTTTGCGCCACGCCCTAAATGAAATTCCAAATCATGGTCATTCTCAGCCCCATCCCCGGAAATTGGAATTCCTCGTCCATGCACCAGGAGGATTTGGGGGATTTTTTTTTCCTCCTTTGTTTCCTTTTTTTCATTTGGTGAAGTCTCCAGCATGACAAAAACATCTGTTCAAGCGCGATATGACCATCCACATATTTATTACCCAGGATGCCCTCTGTCTTTGGGCTTCCGACTTTCGTCAATCCTCACTCTCCGACGAGCCCTTTCTTGATTCCCATGTTTAAACACTGATCATAGTACTCTAAATACCCCCTTCCCTCCCGATTACTAAACCATGGGTCTCTGGGAGTCTTCATTGGCGCCGCCCCAGTTTGGGGACAACCGCTCTTACACCGACTTATTGACCTTTGCTTTCGGTGGCCCTCGCCCATACAATGAACAACGGCCGTTATTCATTGATGCTGACCATCCTTCATGCTCCCTCAATGCTCTCCAATTCCGATTATTAGTGCGAACTCTCATTGCTGGGTTAAAGGCTCATCATGTGCAAAAAGGTGATTGCGTTCTGGTCCACATGGGAAATAGCGTAAGTCATCCGACGTTTCGTAAACAACACCTACACCGAGTCTTTATCCCCACTACATCCGATTCCCTGGAACCTATTTTTTTACTTTTTTTAATTTTTTCCCTTTTTTTTTTTTTTTTTTTTTCTTTCCCCTCTATTTTAATTTTATCCACTGCCCCTCACGAATACTGACTCACATCGTCCCGTAGATCCTATACCCCGCCCTTTTTTACAGTATTATCGGTGCTGGCGGTGTGTTCATGGGCTCGAATGCCCGCAGTCAGCCCCAAGAATTAGAGCACATCCTTGAACTGGGTAATCCCAAGTTGATCATTACGACGCGCGATGCCCTGCCCACAGTGCTCAACGTCTCGGCCAATCGAGGCATGCTTCCTAGTCAAGTGTGCTTGGTGGATGAGGCTGCTACCAGCCATGTAGCCCAATTGTTGCTGTCGGGTCCTCTGGTCTACGCTGCAGCCATTGCCCCGTATCTACCACACGGTGGAGACAACTATTACCTGAACTTTGCACATCTCCTCGGCTACGGCGAGACCGGCTGGCTCTTTTTCCAGGATGAGGCTATCGCAAAGTCCACGCCGGCAGCGATGTTCTCCACCAGTGGCACGGGAGGATTACCCAAGGCTGCCATACTGTCTCACCACGCTATAGTATCACATCACCTTAGCATTTATTACGAGGTGCCTTATGAGGCGAGCCGGCTGATGTCACTGCCCATGTTCCACCTTTTTGGTGCCCTCTGGACACACATCTTTCCTATTCGATATGGAGAGCCACTGTATATCCTGCCTCGCTTTGATATTGCCCAGTATGTGACAGCTGTATATCGGTATCAGATCACAGAGGCATATATGGTACCTGCGATGATTCATGCCTTCAACCGCTGTGCATTCCCCGTCGCAGACTACCTCCAGTCACTACGGTACGTTGGCGTTGCGGGGGCTCCGATTGATGGGGCCTCCATGCAGCAGTTCCAAGAGTTGCTCCATGTCGATGCCAATGCATCCCAGCTTTGGGGCATGACAGAAGTGGGTGTCGTTTTCCAAAACCGTTACGGACAGCCTGGCAATAGCGGAAGTATCGGGCGGCTCGTCCCCGGATACGAGATACGACTGGTGGGACAAGATGGCAACCTAGTGCTTGACGATAATAAGCCAGGGGAGCTGTTTGTGCGAGGTAACGGCCTGCTTACTGGCTACAAAGGACGAGACGACGCCAAGGACGCGCAGGGGTGGTTCCGTACAGGTGATGTGGCGTACGTGAACAACGGGCTGTATTACATTGTCGGCCGAACGAAGGAGTTAATCAAAGTTCGAGGGTACGTTTTCTCTCTTTTTCTTTTTTTTTTCATTTCTTCATTATGATCTTGATTTCCCGTTTTTGGGCATCTTCCCCCACAGACACTAGTGGTAGAGGCTAAGAAATTCGCAGGTGGCAAGTGGCTCCAGCAGAATTGGAGGCTGTACTCCTCAAGCATCCTGGCATCCAGGATGCAGCGGTGACGGGCGTTACTTCTAAAGACGGTAGCACCGAAGTGCCGCGAGCATTCGTGGTCCGAGCGAGACAGCCGGCCGGGATGCAGTTGACGACGGAGGAAGTGTACATGTACTGTCGACGACAATTGGCCAGCTACAAGGCACTCGACGGGGGTGTGATCTTCGTGGAGGAGATTCCACGCACGGCGAGCGGGAAAATCCAACGGTTCAAATTAACGCAGATGAACACGTACCGCGATATAGTATCGTCACTCTTAGCGCGGTTCAAGGGAACTAGTGGCCTCCAGACAGTTGGTCTATTGCATCAAGGCCGTATCGCCGTTTAGCCAAAAGCGGCAGGTCGAATGATTGCGTTTTTGTTTTTTCTTTTTTTTTTTTTTTTTTTTGGGTTTCTCTATTCACTCTTGTGGCGTTCGACAGGCTTGCGGGGTTTGAGGGGGCGTTCATGGTGGATTCGGTGGTTTTGATGCAGCTTATGAACATGTCCATTATTTTTTGTTTCTAAATACATTTCCCATGATCATCACAGTTACACAGACACCGCTTGCGGATTTAGTTCTCCATCATGTTCATTAGCGTCAAGTAGTTCCGTACGATCAATTCCCTTCAGGGCAAGGAACCGCATACCCAAACAAGCGAGACGCATTACTCTCTTGTTGGGTTGAATATGAATACTCTTTTTTGGGGTTCCTCAGTTGCATGTCGCTGGACCGCCAGTTGTTCTTAGAGTATGTCTATATTTTTCCTTTTTTTTCTTTTCTTTTCTCTCTCTCTCTCTCTAATCTTCTCGAGGCCAACGAGGTTACACCACCAACAAAGTAAGCCATAGAACAAAGAACCCTTTCTTCACAACTAAGTTTTCAACGTCTTCTTTTTACCTTAAATTTGACCGCCATTTCTTTGAAGAAAACAATGAGAGGGAAAGAAAAAAGGTTAAACAGAAAAGCAGGTCAGCTAAAACAAAACCCCAACCTCCAAGATAAGGTAAGTGGAAAGCGAAACTCAAACGCGACCTAAACCCAAGCCGATCAACCAGACTAAAGTTGACTTTGACTGGCGGGATTTCCCCGGTCTACCCGGATCGAGCTTAGAATTTTGCTTGTACATCAGGTGGTTTAGGTATTTATGCATTTGACATTATTCATTTTTAATTTTTATTTTATTTTATTTTATTTTATTTTTTATTTTTTTTTAATCTTCAATAGAGAGACGTAGGTACATGCTTATGTACTTAGTATGTACTTACATAAGGACATACATACATATATACATACTACATACATGCATACATGCAACCCATGTCGAGAAGAGTCTACCGGGTGTGCAGTAGGGTATTGTTGGGAACCAGGGTGTTCCTTGTTGAGGAATCCTGTCTTTTGGTAAGGAAGAGGTGGAGCGAGGGGAATCTAAGACTACTATCTGTCTGTCTGTCCGTCTGGATGGCATGGCATGGCATGGATGAAGAATACTACTTCATACTACCTATATCGCTGATCCTTGGAAATATAATTATATACAATTATATATTTATACAATGATCAGTAGTCTTTGTTGGGAGTGACTGGTCATACAGCACTTCGCTCACTCGGGTAAGGTATACCTTTACACTGACTACAGTGACAGACAACATACCCAAGAATATATTAACTAACACTAAACTAGATCTGTAGGTGAATCTGATTAATGATCCATCCAGACAATCAAAAGTCACGACCCAAAAAACACCCAAATTCACCAATTGTTCAATAATAATTATACAATTAATTCCCAACAGACATACATCCCCTCTTAAAAAAAAAAAAAAAAAAAAAAGCTAACTCCAAACAAATCATTCTAAAAAAACAATTACTTGTCCGTGTCCCATGGTTATGCCATACTAGCACTACTACAGTACTACTCTAGTTACTACTAACTACGACCCTAGTAGGGCAAGTTCGAACCTTCGAGTAGACGGAATGACGTCGGGCCCAAGCGCTGCCACGAACCTTGTCCGTGGGTTGTTGGGCGAACTTTCTTTTTTGCATCTAGACTATCCGCTTCCTTCCTGGCTTTAGTTGGGTTGGGTTCTTGCTTGGTTTGCGTTCCCGTGTGTGGATTCCTCTTTTTTTTTTTTTTTTTTGCTTTTTCCCTTTTGAATATTCTTTTCATTTAATTTGATTTTAATTTGATTATTAATTAATCTTTTGTGTTAAGTTAGTGGTGTTTAGTGAGTGATTAATTTAATATTTTACTTTTTGTATTTCAGATTGTGAAACTGAGTTTCAAAAGTAAAATAAAATGATTATTCTTAATTAATTTATCTTTTATTAAAAAAAGAAAAAAAAGAAAACAAAAAGGAAATCGGAGAAGGACGGTCTGCGTGGTTGTGTGGAATGGATCACTGACGGGATCCACCAACCCAAACAATAGCCTCCTGTGGACCTGAAAGTGTATCCATCGGTAGAAGTTACCTGCCTATAGGTTTGTCAACAGTGAGTGGCGGTGGGCAAGAGACCCATAATGCACGATTCTCTAGTTCGAGTGTTCGAGGGCATCGATTACTGGAAGAGGTAAGAGGAGAATCTCTTTTGGAAGTTTAATAGCTGCTCTCAATGTTGAGTCTTTTTTTGTTGTTCGATCTACCAGTCTAGAGTACTTTTGATGGAAGGAGATGTAACTTGTTTCGTATTTACTGTACAGAGTATGTACGTAAGTACACGAGGTGTGGCGCAGATCTTCGCACCGCCACATGTTGTCTTTCTTTGCTTTTTCCCCCTTGTCCTGTTCCCCCAGCCGGGCTGAGCTGATCGACTGTCGCTTCGCAAAAAAATAGATTGGCTTAATCGATTTAGCATTCAGTAGTTCGATTGAACCATATCGGACTGTCCGCCTGTCAAATCGTCCCAACAAGGTTTCCCGGCGGGTGATTCTCCCATTAGTATCCGACTCGACAATCTCATTGTCTATCTTCTTTCCCGCTTTCGGAAGGTTACACGCCATCAGCTGTCATCGATCCGCCTTTTGACTATTGGATTGGCTTTGCCGGATCGTACGGCTGCTCATCCCATCCGTGCTTTTCTGCCCGGTTGATCCGCGCGCTCAGATCATGATGTGAGCTTTTCTCCTCGGTCTGTCTACGATCAGCCCTCAAAGGGCTTCCAAGCCCCTCCTCCACTCTAGCCCCGCTTCTCTGAGATTCCAATTCGGACTATCGACGGGAATCTCGAAGAGGTAATGAAGGGTGGAGATACTTGTCCTGCCTCCAAAGCCCGGTGACTATGCGCCTGGCGCGCTAGGTGATGGTGAACCTGCGCCGCTTTCGTGCCTCCATTTCCCCTCCTTGCCGATCGCTGAAAGACAGGGAAACCCCCCAAGGATTGGTGGCGGTCGTGACGATAGCAACTAGTCACTGTCTGTCACCAATGATACCAGCGAGTGGAAAGGCCATATCGCTCTATCCGAGAACGGACGTCGAGTAACTGGGGTTGCATATCGTCATGTGACATAGTTTCCTTTAGCTGCAGACACCACCACGTTCGCTTGGATTCAAGGCACCATCGCTTGTGCACAGGGATCCAGCTTTCGGGTTTCAATCCCGGTTAAATTTGGCCCGGCGTATTCCATCCAATCTTGGGACCTCAAGCGTGGCAAGGCTCAGTTGACCAGGAACAATCAACCTAGTCCCCGACTAGACTGTCGCCACGTCGACCCCGAGGCAGCCTCATTTCCCGCCCAGGATGTTATTTGCTCGCCCGTAAATTTCCTAGATGGATTATATTGGATGTAACTCAGCCGTTTCGGCAAAAAACCGGGAATCGAGAATTTTGATAGCCTGTTGTTATGGTGTGACCGGAGAGTTGCAGCCTCTCTCTGTTGCCCCTCACAGCCCAATAAGTCATATTCACATGCTGTGCTGGGATCTTCGCAAGAAAACTCTTGCTTGTAGTATGTAAAATGATTGCTCTGCCTAGAGGCCTGGGCCACACTATTCCCAGCCCAGCCCAAGATACCCACTGCTATTGTGTATGCATAGCTGGCCCACTGTTGTCTGCCAGATGTCCGTTGTGATGTATGCAGTGGCACTGCAGTCTCACGCCGAGCCCGTCCGAAGCCCCTCGAAATGTCATGCATCCAACGTTGTTGCGTCTTCCAACCTAGTACTCTAGACCATCTATCCTGCATGGTGACGTTGTTATTTGGCTGGAGCCCAAACCAGTCTCGCTAATCCCGAACACTTCCGTTATACGGCTGCGGCACGTGTGCCGCCTGACCTACAGAAGCAGTTGGAGATGAAATAATGTGAAATCGAATTGAAGCAGCGTAAGCACATGTCGGGCAGGACATCCCTGGTCAAAGATATTCGGACTCTCCGGTAACTGCTGCCGTGTGTCCCCGCTCAGACAATGCCGTAACCCTTCCACCACACACCCCAGATCATTGGCCCTAGTGCTCCCAATACAGCCGCACCTACTGGGATTTCCAAAATGCTCCACACCCACAGTGTCCCAATAGAAGGTGCTCGCTTCATGACAGCGTAGTATGGCTCTTCGTTGGTCATAGCCATCAGCTTAGCCCCCAGGTAGATAGCAAGCGGAAGGAAGACCATCGTCCGCAATGACGGTGGGAAAAGCAGTTTTCGAAGAAACGCGATCGAGAGTTTATCTCGGTGGAACGGGATGAGCGATACGTGTTCTGAGCTCTGAGCATCACCGAAGGACACAATATGTCCATGTGCCAAGTGAATAGCAAATGTCAAGATCGGAAAGGCAACAAATACGGATTCGCGGATAAGTTTGTCCAACACGATGTATTCTGCGTATTGATGAGCCGCGAGATACGCTAACGTCATGTGTAACGTCGTCAGGGGCACGGAGAGCAGCACCGTGTCGATGAACGGTGGGATTGGCGCGTCCTCGTCTTCCTCCGACCTTGAATTCTCGTCAGACGATGACCCCGTGATAGATCCTTTCGTTCCTTGTTGTTTGTTTGGGAGTTCGGATGCGTCCAAGTTGGAGATCTCGCCGGACGTCGGGTCGATGCTCACGAATCGGGTCTCCATCCCTGGGGTCGAACCGCCCGTTCCGGTCGAACTCCTGTCATGACCCAGACCTAGAAGTTCATTCTCCCGTTCAGCTATCAATTCGACTAGTGTCTTCTCTTTCGGGTCCTTTGTGGTGTTTCGGGGTGGATGGGCCATCGGGATGGAGGACGGATCGAAGGTTGAGTCGGCGTCGCTCTTGGAGGCGGCGGCTGCTGCTCGTCGTTGCTTTCGATTCCTAGGTGCTTCCATAATGACGGGTAGCGTAGAGAATTCTATTTTATAAGCAATTCAATGGTTGTTGGGCTATAGGTGTTTGCACGGTTGGTTGTCGATGGAAAAAGCTCACCTGTCAAGCTCGGGATAAATGTTTACGATCGCCGCCGGACATTAGCGGAGTTAAACGTTCCTATTTATGGACATGTCATATCATGCAATTCTATACACACTCCTTAAACTGATAACTGAGAATTTTTGACCTGAACATGGCTATGTCAAAAAGACAACTTTTGCAATATATGAGCATCAATTAGGCCATCCAGCATATTTCAATCGAATTGTCTCCGCGAGTGCGCGTCAGTTCAACCGAACGCGCTCGTCACCAAGCTTCCTCCTGGCTTCAAAAATGAAACAACACCTGGGAAATGAAATATCCTAATATTCCTCCGCTGATATGCTTATAAACTTCTCAAGATGATATATCTACCCTGATTGATAGAGGGCTGGGCCAGCAACTACGTGGGGATTGATCATTGAGAGGTTGAACGGACTCAAATAGGGGTCTGAGTCTGTAATCGCAATGAACATGGTGCCGTTAACTGCAGGGTCTCCGGCATAAGTTTGAATGTCAGGTTGGATTGTCGATCCACAGTTGTCGCCAGTCATTTCTAGGGGAGAATATGTCACATTCAATTGCGTTACCCACACTACGTACTTCGGATCTCCGGCGCTCGTTGAGGTGATGTAGCTGTTGTTTGGTCCGACTGGTCGACCTGGTTCATCCCAATGCAGGAAAACCTCTCGGCCTGGCCATGACAGGGGTAGTGTGCGGTTGTGCGTAATCGCAGGATAGCAGCTAAAGCCCAGGGTAGTCGAGTTGACACAAGAGGCGTCGCTGGGGACAGCGGTTCTGTTCAATGAATTCACACCTCCTCCTACGGTCTCATTGAAGGCAGCTGATCCGTTGATTCTCACCGGATTCGGCTGATTTTCGATGTATAAGGCAGGGAAGTTCTGCCAGGCCAACCTTGTCTGATTTTCGGGGCACGAGCTGATGTATGGTGCCAGTAATGTCCAAGCCCAAGATTGGGGTACACCAACCTCGAACCAGACCGGCATCGGAAAAAGTCCTTCGAATTGACGAAAAATCATTTGCTGCCTAGCTTCTGTGGTAATCGACTGGAGAAGAAGTATTGCTGCTTCGCGCGAGTTGAGATGAGGCAGGAAGCCATAAACACCAGACTCCCCAAAGCGAGTAAGCTTCTGACAGAAGTCCACAAACTCGTGTACCGTAGTATACGGATAGTTATAGGTACACATCCTAGGGGCTTCGGCGCCCAGTATGTTGGTAATCATCGTTGCATGCCCAACCTCCTGGTCCGCCATGAACTCGATCAAAAAACGATCCTCAGCTGTGAGCCCAGCAGCTGTGAATTCTTCTACCGAAAAGCGGGCCAAGCCATCGTGGAAGAGATCTAGCTCGGTATACTCTTGATAAAGAGCAAGAGCCTAGTATGATAGTCAGCATGAGCCCTTTGAGCTATAAGCGATCTATTAACATACCAACGACTCATAGTCGAAGTCGCTCTTCGCGTTGTAAACCGGCGTTTCTCCGCCAGTTCCGATACCCCCAGCTGGGATATATGGACCTGGTTGAGGGCCGTGGAGTTGCCCGTCGCTAGGGTAAGTTGTCGCTGTGGGTGGGATCCCCAGGCTAGGAACCCCAGTGCCTATTGAAGAAGCATGTAAAGCCCCGGTGGTGGTTGGAGTGCCACTGAATGGAGTGTGGGTCAGCGAAGTTGGGTGACTGACTACAGGTGGAACAGTCGTAGATCGAACAACTTTTGCCTGGGGAACTGCCAGTATTGCTGGCACCCAGCTCAGGCAACTGATCGCGATAAGTCGATTCCAAGGCATCTCCAACCGCTCAAATAACGTCGAATTCACAAGGGTATGTATATCCCAACTTGGAAAACAGCTGGTTGAAGTCGGTTATGGGCACTGGCAATTTATAAAGATTCCGTGTTCATTTCATCAGTCACTGGACCATGCCTGACGCAATTCCTCTATCATTTCGTCTATAATCTCAGCTGCTTGTCCAGAATTCTGAATTTGACCGTGATGACACCGTCATCCAAGCCTTGTCATATTGCATGGGTAATACATGCGGCATGCGCATGTCACAGTCATTCAATTGGCAGCAAACGGATGCCTAGAACGGGTAGAAGTACGTTCCTATTGATCATCGTTTCAACCGTTGTGGAGAGGCCTGCTTCTCGGCATTTTAAATCCTTCCAGTTGACTTCGATAGGCCGTTGAAACAGCAATGCCGGTCATGTTAAAACCAATCACGGTACATAGCGTCTAAAAGTGGACTTGTAAAAGTGGATCTTCTCATCTACGGTGTTGACAGGGATGATAATGCATATTCATAGTAGGTAAATCAGTGGTGAATGAAATTGTACATTGCCGCTCCTATTATGTGAGATCTGACAATCAAGTGCACCGGACGACGTTGGAGCTATTAAGCTGGCTCAACAAGGCTTGTATTGGCCACTGCCATTTTCAGAACCAAAAGACATAGATCGTTATACAGCCTGAAGAATTGAAGTGCATATGGTGTGAAAAAGTGGGACCGACAAGGATTGGAAGTTGATACGCCTGGTTTTTATTCGGTTTAGGCGCAATGACGGAAGTAACGGCTGGCTCGGAACGATGACGTGAATCAAAGCTCACCTATTCCTGGAAGGTCGCATTAATTGGAATTAGAACCCGATGGGCCGAATACCGAGGACCGGAGTGCTCACCGAGAATATCTTGTAGCAAGTCGTGGAGTTTTTTTTGTTCAGTGTTATGCGTTCCTGACTGCGATACACATTGTATGTTCCACAGACCTGAAGCTGGCTTGCCGCCGTCTCGTGACACAAAAGCCCTAAGTTCAGACAGATGATCACCGGCTTGCAGAGAGTTTTGCGACGGTAGAGGACAAATGCAACCTTTCTATAAAGAGAGATTTTAGCTTTATGTTACCTTGAGGATGTTTGTTGGATATACATTAGTGCAAGATTGGATCAGCTGTCGACACCCGCGATTTGATTAAGTAGGAATGCATTGACAATAGTATTATGTAGGATAGATTAATGTAAGATGCAATTGAATTAGTCCTGGGCTCTAATGGACGTGGAATTATGGTACTACCTCTAGATCTCATAGTGTAAGATGTATGGTACCTAGATTACCTGTCGTGATAAGTGGCCGCTGTTGAAAGTAAACCCTAAAAGTACCTAGTCTCGTCCTTCCAAGAAGATGCAGATCAACTGCATTCTACTATTAGTAGGTACCACATGATCTTTGAAGGATACTAGTTGTAAATAAAAGATTTGAAAGAGCAAACACTGGGGAGGTCTTGAGGATTTACCCCGCAGGCATCTCGGTCCAACCCCGAGTGGGGAAAATGACGATTCCTTGGTTATAGTAAAGGCTTATCAATCAACTCACTTCGTCCTTTCACTTATTTCTTCTCTATAAGTCATTAGCATATTTCTTGTAAGAAGAGAATACGACTGACACGCTAGTTCACTGGACCCCTTGCCAATTGCGGGCCTTTACGAACATCATCTTCATCCAAATATGTCTCGCCTTCAACCCTCGAGTCTATTCTCCGTCAAAGGACTGGTCGTAGTCCTAACAGGAGGGGGAAGTGGTAAGTACAAGCAGCACCATTGTTTGCCCTCGTATTTTCTTCTTCTACAACCAATACGCAAGTGACAAGTCCACTGTATCACCACATAAATTGCAAAACAGGCCGCATTGAGCCAAGACAAGCAAAGAAAAGCAACGAACCCCCATCACAAAGTACCAGCTAACAGCAACACCACAGGCCTAGGCCGTATGATGGCCCACACGCTCGACGCAAACGGCGCATCCAAGATTTTCATAATTGGCCGTCGACAAGAAGCCCTGCAAGACACCATCACGCAAAGCCCGAACAGCAGCAGTAGCGCCATAATCCCCATTCAAGCGGATATTTCCTCAAAAGCATCCCTCGAAGCAGCATATCAGGCTATCTCAGCACAGACAGATCACGTTGATCTTCTCATCGCTAACAGCGGCATTCTCGGCCCACGGGCCTGTCCCCCGCCTCCCAAGCCAGACGGATCCCTCCCCAGTCTCGCCGAAGTCCGCGATGCCCTCTGGTCCGTCCCTACGGAGGACTTCACTAAGGTCCTAGATGTCAACGTGACCGGTGCTTATTATACGGCAGTGGCTTTCCTCCCGTTGCTGGAAGCGGCGAATAAGCGGCGGCCGGCGCCTGTGAAGAATCAGATTGCTGCGCCCACTGCGCAAGTTATTATTACTACTTCTATTGCGGGGTTCAATAGGAAGGTACCGGTTAGTGCGGCGTATAATCTTTCCAAGGCAGCGGCGAATCATTTGGTGAAAATGCTTTCGACGACGTTGGCGTCGTATGATATCCGAGTTAATGGCATTGCGCCGGGGATTTATCTGTCCGAGATGTCGACGCCGAATTTTGAGGAGGACGACAAAGGAATCTCGGATGGATCGTTTAAGAAGGAGTTCATTCCTCTTACGAGAGCTGGTGGTGAGGAGGATATCGCTGGGTTGATTCTCTATATGGCGAGTGCTGCGGGCGGTTATTTGAACGGGAATATCACCATCAGTGACGGTGGAAGGCTGAATACTGCGGTGGCGACGTATTAAGGAGAAGATCTTTGTCTTTCTTTTTATGGTTCCATTCATGCCAATATGTAAACGGTAAACTGGAGATACATGCATTGACATTTTCTCATCATGAGCAGACACTACGTTACAATGCATACCGGGAGCTGATGGGAAGACACAGAGACTAGGGTTGCAGCTTGGCTAAATCAATGCTGAAGCGAATAATAAACCAACCAGTTCATTCAGTAAGTAGCCGTGAGCCGCTGGACCAGATAATCCCCGGCAACAATTCCTGGGTACTTCGCTTCCTTGATATCATCCCCATAGGTTCCAGGGATAGCCTCAATGAGTTTATTGTTATTGGGGTTGCAGAAATATGCGATGCTGTAGCGGTCTGGGTACGTGGCGGAATTGTCCTCCTCACCAATGGGGGTTGGTGGCTCAACGACGCGATGACGCGTGCTCTTTATCAGATCATTCGACCATCGAGCCAACAGGTCACCCGCATTGACGACGACTGTATCTGCGATGGGGGTCACATCGACGTAAGTATCTTTGGGACTGCGTACTTGGAGGCCACCGCGACGATCTTGGAAGAGAAGCGTGATGGAGCCATAGTCGCTGTGCTCACCCGCACGAACCTGCGATGGGTTCTTTTTGAAAACTTCCTTCGACACAGCTGGATAATGCAGCAATCGAAGATTATTGTCTCCTGCATCTACGTAGGAGTCAAAGTAATGCTCCGGTAAGTTCATCCCAAGTGCGATGGCGCGCATCACTTCCGTGTGGAGGGATCTGCACATGCTGAAGAATGATGTCATGACTTCCCTGAAATCCTTTCCTTCGTCGTCAATATGGTCCGGCCACCGATTAGGTTGATTGTCTAGGTTATCGCGACCAATCTCCATGGTTTCCTTGAGATCTGGGGTAGCTCGGAGAACTTCAGGTGCCGTTGGGTCGTCCACGTTGCTCAGCTTCTCTTGTCCCGTCTTCACGTAACCACGGTTCGCCTGTGGGGTAGTCCAGCACAGACTGTCTTTCTGATCCTGGGGTCGCGCAAAAAAGCGTGCAGATGAGCCAAACACCCGGGAGACGACGGACGGGGGGAGACCATGCTCCTTGAGATAGAGGAAACCGGATGTTTTGAATGCTTCTACGATGGAGATGGCGACGGCATGCTTATCAGCGGGGGTTCCGTTGAGAAAGGGGCCGAAGTCAATGACCTAGAGTCATAAGTCAAACGCTCAAGATATATGGAAATCTGAGTAGATCAACAACTTGGATAATATAAAAAGAGCACTGTGTTGAGCTTCAGCTATTGGACTCACTGGAATGACAATATCATCTTTGTCAACGGCGGTGGTTGCTGGATGACATGACTGCTGCGGCAGATTGCCCTCCATTTTTGAAGCACTACGGTTCTCAAGGACACAGAGCGGGTATGTTATAGAAGTGCAGCGATTGATAATAGGAATAATATAAATGGGAATTTATGGAAAGGGAGAGGTTAGAGGTTAAATGGAGTGGTGGCGCAAGGTGAAGAGAGTGGAATGACTTGGTGAAGTCACTTCTACTCCACTAAACCAGAGGCGGGACATTGAGAGAGATGAAAGAGAAAAAAAAAAAAAAAAAAAGAATACAGGCGATCCTTAAAAGGAGTTGGAAGGACCTCCCCCGTGACCTGCATGAAAATGATATGCATCCAATAGAGCGGGGAAGATAATAAAATACTACCTACTAAATGATGGATGGTATCTAATCTTATCTTCTTTACTTCGACCGTCGACAGAGAAAGATAACAACAGTCATTGATGTAGAAATCAATCAGGTCATGATAGCAGAATTCAATATGGATACGATTATTGTGGAAAACGAGTGATCTCGGAGATGAGGTACATCGTACATTGTAACCCCACCCTCATGTTCATATGCATCGACTCCTCAACTTCCCCTCTTCTTCATTGTAACCTCATCAACCTCACAAACAAAGTCCCAATCTCCCTTCCTCTTGACACATTTTCACTTTCTGCAAGGCTCAGAAGAGCAGAATAAATCATGCCACCTCTAATTGTTGACATCCATACCCATGTCTACCCTCCCGCGTATATGGAAATGCTCCGCGCTCGCAAGAGTGTCCCCTATGTCCATGATCCAGCTAATGGGGCAGACCCCCGTTTGATTATCCTGTCCTCAGACGATGACCCTTCAATTCCCCTGGATGAGCGGGGTCGTCCAGTCGACTCGTCCTACTGGAATATCGACGTGAAGCTGGCCTTCATGCGTCGCCATGAAATCAACTGCAGTGTGATTTCCCTCGCCAACCCCTGGTTGGATTTTCTCGAACCTGAAGAGGCACAAACTTGGGCGCAACGCATCAATGATGATCTTGAAAACACTTGCGCACGCGTTAACAAGGCCGGTGACCCAGACAGAACCCTGGCGCTACACGAGAAGGAATCCCTATTTGCTTTCGGTGCGCTGCCGCTGAGTGCCCCTAGCGCTGATAGTGTCGTGGAAGAGATCAAGAGACTTAAGACCTTGCCGCATCTGCGCGGGGTCATCATGGGAACCTCAGGGTTGGGGAAAGGACTGGACGATACCCAGCTGGATCCTGTCTGGGAGGCGCTGCAAGATACTGGGTCACTTTTATTCTTACACCCGCACTACGGACTACCGGATGAAGCTTTTGGTGGCTCAGATGCCATGAATCGATACGGTCATGTTCTCCCGCTGGCTCTAGGGTTTCCTCTTGAAACGACAATTGCAGTGACGCGAATGCTTTTGGCGGGCGTCTTTGATCGATTTCCGCGGCTGAAGATCTTGCTGGCTCATTCCGGAGGCACGCTTCCCTTCCTTGCAGGACGGATCGAGAGCTGTATTCATCATGAGCGCAAGTTCATTGCCAACGGTGGTGATGTGCCCGGTCCTCAAAGGAGCGTATGGGATGTCTTGAAGACCAATATATATCTTGATGCTGTGGTATATGGCACCGCTGGCTTGCAAGCAGCAATGGCAGCATCCGGAACAGATCGTCTGCTTTTTGGTATGGTTTTCTTCATAAAAATGCTAGTTTGATTGTGAATCTTGCTCACCAAGTACTAGGTACCGACCACCCGTTCTTCCCTCCCTTGGATGACAAGGAAGGGGAATGGCCTAGTGTGACGACCAACTACAAGGCCATTCACGCTACATTCGATAAAGATGGAGATGCAGCCGCAGCCGTGCTGGGAGGAAATGCAGCTCGGATTCTGGATTTGAATTGATTTCCGGCCAGAGTACCGTTAGGAACTGTAAAGAAGAACACCGATTTCTATATCCATGAACAATTGGGAAACATACCCATTGACTCTGTGTTGGATACTGACATTTTTCTAGTTGATCGAGTAGTAAATGGTAACAAATCTGTATTCAAAGCTCTGAAGTGTTGCTTCTCACCAATATCTCCCATCCTAATAGCTTCCATACCTCTTGCGTGAACCAGTCTGGGACCGATTGATCAGGGTTCTGAGAAGGTAGTTGTAGATTGCGAAGATCTTCATCAGTCAGCGCGGGTCGCTCGAGCGGCTTTTCCCAAGTCGAATCCGTGCCAAAAACAGCCTGAAGCAGGGTGCTTTGCAGTCTTTCCTTGAGTTTTGCCGCGGATGATATGCTTCCGTCGCTATCTCTAGATTCCGATGAAGATGATGAAGTAAAACTATGTAATATGGCCAATGCTCTCTTTAACAGCCAGACTAGGCATTTCGCTTCCATCTCTGCGGAACACAATGACCTATCGTTGATGTCAAGTTCTGTCAAGCCTCTTGGGAGAGGAAGTTTTGTGAAGTCTGCACGAAGATCAGGTCGTAGCTTTAGGTCCTGAAAAACGAACAGGCACAGCAATTTTCCGACGCGACTGAGCAAAATGAATAGAAACCCTTCCAGTAAATCTTGATGACCCGGACACCCAGGGTTAAGTGAGGAAGCCATTGCGTTTAGTAGTCGAACCATCTGCGTAGAAACCTCGTTACCGGTATTCATATTAAAACCAGGCAATTGTTTAACTTTGATCTTGTTGCTTGCTGCGTGTTTCTGCTTGGCTGGCTGTGCCTGCTCGGATTTGGCCTTACACCATTGTTCTAAAGCATCCATCGTTGATTCATACAGGTGAACAATATGGTAGATGACGCGATTGGAAGATTGCATGCCATCCTCTGTTCCAGATAGAGTCCTTATCACCTGTAAAAGAAGTTGGAAAGCACATTCCATACAGTGAAGCACTTCAGCAATCGTTGGCCCCTCAGTCCTCGTTGAGCCCTTATTCCTGGAAGCACAAGGGACCGCTCTTTTCTCGGAGACTACCTCTGATAGTTCATTTGCAGTGGTTTCGCATAGATTCACTGCAGCCCTAACAATATCCAAGGCGTTAGACTTCCTCTGAAGGGCTTTTTGAAGCGTATAATAATGCCTCATGAAGGGCCCAGTAGCTTAGACAAGACCAGTCAGCGCAGCACACAAGAACACTAGGGTGACTACACAAACTAACACTCCTCCGTAAGATCTAGTCGATCAAGTTCATCCCATGGCGCTGAGGCACCATTAACCGTCTGCGTCTTGGCTCTTTTCCTTGTTGTTACGCCTCCAGCGGCTTTTTCACCAACGGTTGCTTTTCGCTTTGATGATGGCTGTTCCGCCTCGAACGGGGTATTCCGTGCCTGCAACTTAGCACTAAGTGCTTCATTACGCCTTTCAAGGTCGTAAATGCGATCTAGTAGCTTGCTCTGCTCTGCTTCGGATTTTTCGTACGCCTGCCTCCAGAAGGAAACGCTGTCGAAGAATCTATCTTTATCATGGGTATAGGATGTTTCTGCCTCCCGGGTGTCTTTGATTTGTTGTCTGATTCTCAGAATGTATTCTGTAGGGTTTATCGCTTTTGGTGAGTACTATATACAACTATGGTGGTTTGATATAGGCTTTGTTTACCTCTGATATCCAAGTCTGCGGGTTTATGCTTGACGATGGCTATTGCAAGAGCCAGCTGTGCTGGGGAGGGCATAGTGCCGTCGTCCATATTTTCTGGGAGTATTCTTCAGTGGTGAGGTATATTCGGGTGAGTAGTTCTTTGATACGATGTGAGTGAAATATACTTGAGAGCCATCAGACACGTGCTTTGGTTTACATCAGGTGGTCAGGTGGTCAGGTGGTCCATCTGTTCATCTACTAGAGCTTTTCCAATCAAGACTTTTAGTTGAAGATGGTTAATAAGCTACAGCAGCAGATGTTGCGAGGGGGTAGAGAGGCTAGGTAAATGGGAGGAAGGAATACGGACGGAGAGATAACCACTCGCAGGCCGCTTTATCATAACCTTGTCGCCTTTAGTCGTTAAATTTATGGGAACTACTATCCCCAATGTTGTAACAGGCTCCCAACTTCAGGCTTAAAGGTCCTCTGGGCATAGCTTTATAGGTGTCTAAGTTAAGAGTGCCCACGGCAGTAGGCCTCATGGAGTTGGTGTAGGAGGATGTTGATTTTTCCTATAAATCAAGCCTCGCTTGGATGTCATACGTCTCTACTACTTGCATGTTGGTCGTTGACCAGATCCTCTGACGTCCCACAATGTTCATATGATTCCATCAGAAAAAGAATGCATACTTGGGAGTGGCATTGACTTGGATGCTGGTTTTCTCCATTAGCTCCACAATTACACGAAGATCATATGAAGCCCGGAAGCCAATGCTAGCCATAATTGGCAACCATACTCCTGAGAGAAAAGCTGGATGAATGCGAGGGGTCTGGAATCAAGTAGCAGTGCGATAGTTGTAGCCGCCTCTACCGATGCATCGACTGTCCCCCTTTGGTTGACATTGAAATGAGATTCATATCCAGGCTGTACTCTCTCTCTCTCTCTCTCTGACTGCCACCCACCAAGGATTTCAGAGTATATACACTAATTCACGAACTGAAGACCTGTGTTTGGGCCAACACTCGAAACTGATGTGGTGACAGAAGACCGCAGTGATCTGACAGGCAATGCCTAACTCTAAGGGTAAACTGATATAGAAATGAACCGGTTGACGTGCTATACATCCAAAGATCCGTCAGTTGCAAGTGCTCTTGCTGTCGTATTCTCCTAGCTTGTAGATATCAACAGTCAAGGGATATCCGGCACGGTATCACGGCAGTATGCGGCGCATGCCAACAGAGCAAGTTCTAGTACAATGGATGCAGCTTACATCCCTTAGCCACTGAGATGGTCCCCGAAAGCAACCCTCGTTGTTCTCCTTAAGCAACCTGACATTTCGAGGATATACCAACTGATGTGTAGGGTGCTCACGAATCTAAGGATTCCTCAAATAGTCCTAACCTAGTCGTCATATACTTTGGTCTATATAAGTATTTATAGGCGAACACCTTGTAGTGGCTCATAGTTTGTTGCCATTGAGTTGGTATTTGTTTAGTCTTCAAAGTCTTGCTGCCAAGTTTATCGATTTAATTGAATAAATTAAATAGCAAACTAACCAAGCTTGGAAGCCAGTAATTTCGAAGTTCCGCCACCGCCTCCACCAATTAAATGCATACCAACATTTATTTTCCCAAGTCATTTCACAACATTACATCTCAATCACCTTCATCTCAACCCGAAAAGCAAATAGGGTACCCGAGAATTACTTGCGTACAAAGCGCAAGTCTCCATACCCTTTTAAGTCGCCATATTCCCATATCGCTACATATTAGTGACATTACCGTGGAAGTTCAAACAAGATGGCTTCAAACGACGATCTCAAGGCGCACGCCGCCTCCAATCAAGATTTTTACGCTCTGCTAGACATCTCCCCAGCAGCCGCCGAAGGCGAAATTCGTCGCGCATACCGAAAGACTGCTCTGAAATACCACCCTGATAAAATCGCGAACCCGACACCTGCAGACATCGACAAGTTCCACACGTTACAGATTGCCTACGATGTCCTCTCTGATCCGTCGGTACGACAGCTCTACGATAATGCGCGGGAGGCGCGACAGCGGAAGCAGCGCGAGCGGGATATGATGGATGCGGCGAAGAGGAAGATGAGGGAGGATCTGGAAGCGAGGGAACGCGCCGGTGCTGCGGCGATGGGTAGTGCGCCTCGCGGGGTGAAACGGACCTGGATGAGTGGGACGGGTGATGATGATGCGGAGGAGAAGCTGCAGCGGGAAATTGAGCGGATCGCGGAGGATGGCCGGCGCCGACGCCGGGAGGCAGAGGAGCGGTTGAAGCAGAAGGTCGAGGAGGAGGAGAAGCAAATGCGCGAGAAGGAGGAAGAGGCACAGAAGGCTGCGGATAAAAGTAGTCAGCGGGTCGACCGTTCGCAGGAAGGTGGAGCGAATGTGCCGGAACTCGAACGAGCTGTGAAGGCGCGCTGGATTCGTGAAGGTCGGGGCTTCGATTTGGATAAGGATCGCTTAACGTCTTTGTTCACTCCGTTTGGCAAGGTTGAAAGTGTTGTTGTGCTCAAGGATAAGAGGCAACGTATTGGGGACAAGCGTGAGAAAAGGACTGTTGCAACGGGCGTTGTGGTCTTTACTTCCATCGTGGGTGCGCATGCTGCCGTTCTGGACAGTGAGAAGAAGATACGCCAAAGCGCTGGACAAGCAGACAGTGACTGGGGTTTGATTGACTCCGTATTTTGGGCATCTGGCAATCAACCTGACCTGGGAGCAGGGTCTGACAACCGTCCTACTTCTCCTGCAGAGAAAAGTGAGCCAAAGATGCCAGCGGCGCCTCCCAAGCCTGCATTCAATTTCCCTGGGGTCAAGACGACAGGTTCAGATGGCAAAAAGCCCGGTAAAGCGCCGTCTTTCGGTTCATTCGCTTCTGCTGCTGCTGCTGCGGACTCAATGAAGTCGACCCCTAGTTCGTCGACTAACGGTCCAAGTGCCCCTAGCATGGAAGAAGTTACATTAATGCGACTAAAGACTGCGCAGCGGGAGAAGGAGCGCAGAGCTCTTGAAGAACAGCTTCGGAAAGAAGACGAAGCTGCAGATGCCGCCGAGGCCGCGGCCGCTGAAGCCAATGCTTAGTGTTACCATGTTTTTTCTACTCTGATTCCTTTTTTTATCATTTCTACAACCGCATATGTTGGGCATCAATTTTACAGGTATTTTTTAGCCTGCCGCTGAAATCTAACCGGACAAATAATTGGCGTTGTGGGGATTATGTATAGATAGACTTTTTAGTACAAGAGATACCCTTTAACTATATGGAACACATTTTGCCTGGACTGCTGTGCTATGATACATGGTCGTTATTATACATATGCTCTATCATACAAAAGATCTATTACTCTTTCTGTCGGAGCGACTCTTCTTCCTCTAACTGCTCCAGGAACTCCCGTGCTCGATGGCCTTCTTCGGCTTCACGACTACGGGTGTTCTTTTTCACCCCTCCATTCAGGATGAAGTCTCTCGTCCAAGAAGGTACGAAGGCTTTAACCTTGACCTCTCCAGGCTCCTGCTGGTCTGATGAACCTTCTCCTGCCGCATCCCATGACACCTTAAACTCTTGCTCAGGGCTATACTGGGTGCGCTCGCCAGTAAGAGTAACATCGGTCATCATTTCTAACCGGCACAATGCAAGACCGATATTACCGACTCCACCGAGGAACTTGCCCGTACTACGCGCCCTTCGTGCACTGATCTTGTACATATTCGACGCACTGGGAGGTTGAGGCAACTCCGCAGTATGATCATACACGGGTGCCACAGCGGACTCAAGAGCATTCTGATCTCCTGTATATAACTGCACGGGCAGAATGCGCTTCCGTACAACACCCGTGTGATGGGTACGAATGGTAAGCTCCTGACCCACATAACAGCCCTTGCGGAAGTCAATTCCCTTCATCATATCCATATTGCATTCCAACGGGAGCGCTGATTCACGAATAATTTCAGACTGGCCTTCGGCAATACCGTGCAGCATGCGGCGCACGGTATAAGTTCCAAGACTCACCTCCGAACCCGCAATCTGAGTCTCATCAGGAACATGAGTCCGGAGATCTTCCGCGCCCGGAGTGATGAGGCGGGAACCGAACCCGGGGGCCCTTGTATCAACACAACCAGTGATCGAGGACGATGGCGAGAAAGGAGAGGAGGATGGGGATTCCAGGTTATATGCGGCCCAGCGGGGTTGTTCATGGTCCTTCCATGAGGCCCACACCGTGCGTTCGCCGTCTTCGAGAGCACGTAGCTTTAACTTCGCGCGAAGCTTGTGTTTCTTTAAATGTTTCATGAGACTCGCTACTTCGTTCTTATCTACTTCGATGAGCCAGGCGGATTCGTCGGGCGACGCAAGGTCTGCTTGTGGAAGCGAATACAGAAAAGCATCGTTGAGCACTCGACCTTGAGAGTTGAGGAAGGCAGTATAGGATCCAGTTCGACGGGTTGCGCGGTTTGGATCGTTCGTTATTAACATGTTCTGGGTAACAAGCCCCTGAAGGAAGGTGGTACTATCGACCCCCGTGATGGAAATCAGGCCTCGGCTCGTGAGGCGGGCATAACCGGCCTGCGGCGGGGGAGCTGGAGTGGCATCGCTATTCTGCTGCGAGAGTGAATGGACGGTGGTCGAGAAGAGCCGGGTGCCATTCGGGCAATGAGCACATATAGTGCGGACAGATGTGCTAGGGCGCATCATAGTTATCGAATGGCGCTGTTAAAGAATGGATGCAACTCCGGAGAGAAAGTTTACAAATCAACCAAAGCTCCATGGACGATGATATCAATCAGCGGGCGGTGTCACGCGGCAGAATATGTACCTATGCTCCACTTAATTACTATTGACCACTCTCATTTACGTACAGAGAAATGGAAAAGTCCAAGAAACAATAATGAATATAGCCTATTAAATTATACCATCCAAAGCGCCCCGAAGCTTGCCCAAATAAAGAGCTGAGCTTAGTACTATAAGGATATGCCAGGTACAAGTACGACTACTTGTTCCCCTTGGCAACCCCTTGCAAAAATCCAAGCAAGAAAGCCTTGCTATCCGGTGAAGACACTCTCGCATTCAAGCTTCCATTATCTTCTGGAGCGGGAGATCCTCTATTCATCCCAGTTGGAGTGGGAAGATTAAGAGGCGAGAGCGGACTGACAACGGATGATGTTACTGGCTTTGATCCTGATGTGTGGACACTGAGCTCTCTTGCGGGCGAAACGCCCGGTGATGCCGGTTGTTTGCCAAAAAGGGAGAGAAGAGTCTCTTTTTGAGCGGCGGATTGACTTGGTCGGCGATCAAAACTGCTTGCCTCTTGCCCAGTGCTTGGAACCTGAGGACCAACTTGCTGTTCTGAATCATGCGATTCCTTGGTCCGCACAGGGAGTATATGGTCCAAATTTTGAGAACGGCGGAGAATTTGTGGCTGGAAAGGCTTTGGGGGTTCAGAGCTCTTCGGCTTGCTATCCTTGCGGGTACGGGACGAAGTCCTCGAGGATGATGCCACCGCTGGGTTAGGTGATTGCTCTCTTTTAGCGGATTGGGGTCTAGCCAAGATTGTAATGGGTGAAGAGAGGCCCTGTGGCTGTCGATCCTTGTTCTTTCGATTCGAATTATTCTGATTCTTTTTGCCAGGTGGCTTAGCAGTTGCCTCGGACTGAGGTGGGTGCACAGGCCTGGGTGCCACATTCGAATTCAAGGGATTGCCCTTTGGTGCCGCACTCGTGTAAGTAAGTGCCTGTTGGGCAGCGCTAGAATCATGTGGCCGTTGTAGAATCTGCTTTCTGGTCGGAGAGTTTGCATGGCCTGCTAATTCGGCTGGTGTCGAACCGGAGGTAACCGGAGAGCCTCTCAAGAGGCTTAACAATTGATCCTGATGCTGCGATGACTTGCGCCCATTCATGGGCACCTGGTCAGGCTGTGGCGTCAAAGTTGCATGAGAAGTCTTAGGCGTCTTCGAGGACTCATCCTTGAAAACGCTCAATAGCGCCAATGAGTGACTTGTGAGTTTAGGAGGCGGTAGCTTACTGGCATGCGGCACACTTGCTCCTTGGATCTGAGGCGGCTGAGCTGGTTGGGAAAACGGATCCCCAGTCTGCTGGTAAGGGGCCGTAGGCGCTTGGGTTGCCGGTGCGGCATGCGGGCCGGACGGCAAATGTGCGTCATTGTAGGGCTGCGTAGAGATGTGATAAGCATCCATTCCACCATACCCAGTTGGACGGCCATGCTGATTCATCATAGGAGATGATTGGGCTAATGGCCGCTGAGACATATGCTGATCAAGGACAAGGTTATTTGTATGTGGTATATGAGATGATGTGCTAGGCGGCTGCCGTGGCGAAAACTGTGAGAGATAACCAGGTTGTGAACTTTGACCCTGCACAGGAAAGCCTGGGAACAAGGTCGGAGCCGGATAAGGTAGATGTTGAGGAGGCACTGCTGCAGTACTAGCATGTGATGGCGACGTTTGCTCATTCCTCAGGACCTGTGGGGTGGGTTCGCGAGAGGAGCCACTTCTCAGAAGCTCCAAAAGAGCATTGGATTTAGAGGCGTTAGCTGGTAATGTATCGACAGAGGGAGCCGAGCTTTGCATTAAAACAGCGTCGTTGATGTTCAAGAGGCGTTTGAGGTGGGCGGAGGCATCCTGAGATGGCGCAACCTCGGGCAGGTCGCTAGAAGTAGCCAATCCTAGAGACTGACTGGGCGCCGTGAGACCTTCGTCCATCGACATTTCGCCCCCATTCTGTAACACTTGAGTCGCACCCACTTGCATCTTCGCGTCGAGCTTCTTCTGCTGTGCGATCCATTTCTTGAGAGGATGCATGAACGGTGCGACCATATAAAACTTATTCGCGTTTGCAACCGCAAAGCCCTGGTCTTGCTGTTTACTCTTCTTCAATGTTGGCAGCTCCGACAAGTTGTACCATTCAATCTTGCTGATTTCTTTTCTAGTGCGCGGTTCAAAGTGAGCATCGCGAGGTACTCCACGAAAGACATATAATCTCATGTGCTGTTCTCGCATAGTGATTTCAATGAACTTGACGTCTTTTTCGTTCTTAACGAGCCCAGCTTCATGAACATCGAAGCCTGTTTCTTCATAGACTTCGCGAATAGCGCAGTCTAAATCCTTTTCGTCTTTGTTAATTTTACCTCGTGGAAAACTCCAATTCGCACCCTTCTTCCAGCCTTTGACCAAAACTACTTCGTCCATGTCTTGGTTGAGCATTATGGCCCCGCGCACCGGAACACGGGTCTTGTATGCCAGAAACTCCGAAAATGCTGTGATGTGATGATAATGTGACCATTGTGACATAAGCGGACAGTGTTGGAAGATACGTAAGGCGAAAGCTTTTAAGGACAGTGAAGGAAGGGCCGGGTCCAACGGCCGGATAAAATCCTCGTAGAACCATTGTGCTTCCTCAACCTGGAAACATATACGTTCGACCGATTCGAGCTCTTCTCGGGGCAAGTTTATAATGAAGCGGACACACAGGTCATCCAGCCCTATTAGAGATCAGCCGTCTCGGTATCGCTGTGGCCAATGAAGACCCATCTCAAGTCAGGAATGAAAGGGAGGAAGACTTACAATCTTCTAAATGCATCTTTGTTTCTGTCATATTGTGCGACGTACCCTAGCATTTCAACTCAGCCTAGGTGGGAAGGGGGGTAAAGGTCCTAAGTCTGGGACGCGGAGTGAGAAGACGGGTTAGAGGGGACAGCACAGCGATGATGCAGCCTCAAGGAAGGGTGCTTGGCAAAGCGCCAACCCTGAAGCATACAGTGGCTGCAGAGGAGAAAAGGCGCTGACGGGTACAAACCAATGGTTTGTGAATCGGCGAACCAAATGACTGGTAGACTGAGAATGAAGGAAGATGGTTGAGACAGACAAGTATTGAGTTGTCCCCAACGTACCGAAGACAGAACAACAAGGAAACAAGAGCAAAGCTGCTGAATCGCAGCCCGCTGAAATCTGTGGCGGTGCTGCCCAATGGAAGCCCAGTGCGGCATGCGCGTGCGCCACAGGTGTGGCGATGTGGCTAGTGCATGATCATCGGGGGCATTTATGTAATTATGTAATGAGGCCCAGTGGAACTTGGAAACTGCGGGATGACGTCCTCACACGGGCCGTGCCCATGGACAAAGGAATGATAAAAAGCCCACTGCATGAACAACAACTGTCTTGGCTAGAGCTTAATTGTTCGCTTCGAGCCTCCCCTTGGAAAGAATATCCCTACCCTTAGGTCTTTATCCGATCTCATCTCTTAAGAAGAATCCATATCTATACATTTCTCC